TTTTGGATGAGCTTGTGGAGCAAGACAGAACATGATGAAAGTAGATAATATGGAGAGCTCTGGAGTACATCTGTGTGAGGAGATCATGTTACTTTATCATTATCTCAGCCCTAATCTTCTAGAATCAGAGACTTACAGCTGGGTATGCAGGCAGAAAGGAAAGTCTTGGAAATCACAGCTGACCTCAGTTAAGTAATATAACTACATGGAAGTCATAGCTTGGGGTATGGAGAAGAAGAGTCTAGAACAATGGTTTTCGGTCTGTACAGTTGTTAGAAGCTCCTGGACTAGTGCTGAGACTCACAAAAGGCAACCAAGAAAAAACAAGCCTAATGTATAGCAAGTGTAAAGCTCTAATACAGTCTGCTTGTTCTGAGAACTGTGTGTAAGTCAGCTAGATGATTTCTCCAGAAGCCTTAGCTAGGACTTGGGCTGCCCAGTCTCTGGTTTTTGTGCAGGACTCAATCCACTGGCTGCACAAAACTCAACAACTGTGTAACTTACTAAAGAGGCTGCTATTAAAAATAATGTAGAAGCTTATATTTTTGAAAGCTTTGTACTGTAATGTAGCTTAAAATACTCTGAAGTGTTCATATGCAGTGGCTGGCTGGGTGAAACGTCAAACTGAAAAGTTTAGATGCCGTACATAGCTGCTCCATGTAGCCATGGGGTTCTTTCTGCTTAGTCATTTTTGTTGACGCTGTTTTGCTTTTGGATTGGTGAAAGTCTCTTGGCTTATATAAAGGCAGTTTTAGTGAGTGAGGGAACATCAGTAGCTTGGTGTAAACTAAACACGGAAACTGGAAGCACAGCTTATGGTACTGTGTTGGCTCAAGTTTAAGGCAATGGTAACTTAGTTCTGCTTTAGTAAGAGCTAAAATGCTAAAGCAGCACTGTGTTTTGTTGGCAGATGATGTGGGACAGTAGGCATTGAACATTAAAGTCTGTTCTGGACTTAAGTCTGTTGGATTATGGGCCTTTAGTCTTCTTCACCTCCCAGATCAGGTATTGGTTCAGGACTGGGATTAAAGGCACTGAATGTCTAATTTATAAGCAGCCACAGGATTCTGTTCCCAGTATGTTGCTGCTTGGCAGCTGTCCAGGTTTGTGCTGCTTTGGCTGTTGGCTGCTGCTTGAGCTGTGAAGGACTCTACCTGAAACTGCTTCTAGACGGAATGTAAGATTTTTTTTTTGTCTGGGAAGAAAAATTTCTATTATATTAAACTATCAGAAATGTAGAAATTATTGGCAGAAATACTAAACCATAGAGTGTAATATATAGTAGTAGCAAGTAAATTGCACTTATTTAGGCAAGGAGGTGATGGAAATGTGTTAATGTACTCATTTACGTTTAGAAAGTACATCGTATCTTTAGCTAAACAAGAATGGTCAAAGAAAAACTAAGTGTTGAAAAAACAACATAAAGGGATCCTGTTCTTTATAGGTGTCTGACTTCTCTGCTTTTCTAGGATTTGTAGGCTAGCTTTTCAACAGGGCTTTGTAGAGGACCTGCACCAAAAGCTTGTTTCCCCTCTCCCTGGCTGGAGGAGGGAATTGAATCCTTTGCTTTATGAAGCATATTCATCACCCATGTGTTCATGTAGGAAAACTGTTCAGGCTGCAAGTAGTTAACTACTGTAGTTGGTAGGAAATGACAGACGCAGAGAACAGGTGTCTCATTTTCTTGAGTGCAGTGTCAGTGTCACCAGAGGCTCTGGTTGGTGGGCAGCAGTCCCTCTGCCTAGCAGCAGACTTCTGTGACTGTGAGCACACTGTGTGTGCTCCTTTCTTGCCATGATGGCATCACTTCTCATTTGGGATTTTGGTGCATGGATTTCACTACTGTGTGAGTCTCAACTCATGAAGAGGTAGGTAAGAGAGAGGTGGTACTACTAGTTAACTTTTCTGATATGCAGTATTGTCTATATCCAGGGGAAAAAACCAAAACCAAACAAACCCTAGGCTTCAGTGTTTGCAAGTTTTAATGAGTAGCAGCTCTTAGCTATCCATGGTAAGGCAGCCAAGGGTGATGTTTTTCATGTCCCAGTTTGAAACTTGCCTGAGATTTCCTTTTTTGTCTGCCAACCAGCCATTAGTTGATGTTCAGTTTAGCATAAGTAATCTGGATGGAAAAGCTCATTTTAACTTGCCTATGGTAATTCTACATACCTCTAGTGGAGAAGGGGCCTGAGCTTATATCCATTGTTTTACCTCAAGTTAAAGTATTTGTGCAAGCAGTAGGTATTTGAACTATGCTTCAGTATTGCTACTGTGGAAGGAAAATGAGAACCTTGTACAAGCAGAGACTGATGCCACCTCCTGTAAAAGAAGTAATATCATAATTTGCTTTATAGGCAACATCCACTAAACAAATCTCCATAACTGCTGTAACTGAAGATTTTTGTCAATGGCTGTCCCTTTCATACAGTTTACAGATTTTCTGCATTACAAGAGTTGGCATCCAGCAGTCTTATTCCTTCTCACAAGACGTCTTGCAATATAGTGCTGCAAAGTCTTAGGTATGAGTCAGAGTGTAGGAGCTGGCTTTCATTTGGAACAGGTACATGAACAATGTTTCAAAGGACTTAAGGGTAAAAAAATTATTTGGAGGCTGAGACAGATGTAAAAAGAAATTGAAATAGCACGAATCAAGAAATAAGAGAGAAAATGTGTATGTTGGACTCGAAAATAGTGTGGCATATTTAAATGAGAGAAGCATGCTGAATTTTCCAGAGTCTTAATTTCTGGCAGGCTTGTTTACTGTCTTATCAATGAGAAGTGATAACTATCAAACAATAAGGAAGCTAAGTGTGAGCAGCTTGTACAGAACTTGGCATAAACCCTCTTCTCCCTGTGGAAATGCAAAAATTTGTGTTTTTTCAGGCTTAAATTCAAGTTTAGAAGTCTTAATGTGAGATACTCTAATATTTTCACTTTCTGTTGACTTCTGTAGTTGTTATGCTGGATATTCTGTATTACAATATTAATATAATATTTGAAAGGATGACTTAATTGTCCTGAACAGAGGTGGGTTTTTTGCACAAGCAATAGACAATTTTTTAAAATATAAAATCCTGCATGGAGAAAGCAGGTTATATTCAACTACTAATGTGGTGGAACTTCTAATATCTGATGCTGGAGGAATGTCTGTAGTAGGGAGGTAGTGGTGAAGTCCTTAATTCATGTGAGATACTTACCTACTCTCTCTGCCCTTTTCACCTAAAATTAAATAAAACTGTTACTCAAGCTCATGCAGCTGTTTCCACAGTTTCATAGATGCCAGAGGGTGAAAATTGGTCTGCTTAGTGGAGGTGTGGCCGTGCTATGGTTTTTGGGTTTGGAAGTTTGCATCTTGGTTAAAGAGCCTGTGATACTACCATTTGTTTCGGGCATCGTCTTGAGAAAACATGATTTGGTTCAATACCTAAGTCTTTGTCCTGCAACTTGGAAAGTGAATGGTTGACCTCCTCGGTTGACTAAACCCTTCCTGAACAGCTGCTAAGAAAAGCCCTTCCAATATGTTTTTTGGGATTTTAGCATTGAGTCATCTATGTGGATAAATTTGCTTCTGAATTACCAATGACCAAACAAAGTTGGTATTCCTGCTATCTACCTCTTCAGGACCTTGGGCCTTCATGTGAGCTGAGCATTCTCTTTTCCCTGTGTGGACATAGACTCTTCTGTGACTTGATTCTTCTTGCATTTTTTTTTAACCATGCTTAAATAGTGAAGAACTTAACTGGCAAATAGTGACTGCAAGCTTATGGGCAAGTCAGTTTGGACTTAATGGTAGCCTTTTCTCCATAAAGATGTAAGGTTCTCACTTCAAGCTCCTCTGTATGTATCTGAGGGGATTATAAGGACCTCTGAACTTAAGTCTGTAATGGCTAGAAATCAACACAAAATAGAGCTATTGGATTTATAAAGAGGGAATATGTAGACTAACTACTGTGGAATATAACAGTGAGGGGCTGTATAATATCAGACAGGAGTTAAAGTAAATGCAGTAGTAATTGTAAAACAAAACAAAAAATCCCTCATTTAACCTGGAAATTACTGACCAGTTGGAGGAATAACTTCTCCCCTATGTACTGTTGGAAACGCTGGACCAAGAATTTAAATTTGGCATTAATATGGCATTTAAATTTAGTTTTTGACCCGAAGCTGTAGGTTAAGAGACATTCTCTCCCTCCCCCAGCTGAATTTTAGACAGAACTCATTTGAGGTGTTTATTTCCAAATCTTAGACTTTTTCCTGGAGCAGGGTGAAAACAAACTCAGTAGACTCTACATCTATGTCTGATTTTTGCACAGCTATTTCCAGATGAGCCTTCTATCTGGCAGTAAGCATATGAAGAAGCCTATAAACTTAGAATCCTGTATTGCTTATCACTAGTGGATAAAACTGTGAAACAAAAGAAAAAATAAACACCCCATAACCTAAACATCATAACAGCTTATCTTCTATGCTGTCTTCTAGCAGTTCAGATAAATCACTGTCTCCAGAATGCACTGGGCACAGGTCTCAAATACTTTCAGATTCTGAAAGAAATAATTTAAGGGAAGTAGGATGTTAGTTTTAAATAAAAACATAGTGTGACTTTGTTCTTCTGTTTAATATTTTCTAGAGTTAAAGATAGACTTCAGTTTAATCTGGCTCCTCAGGGTTCTTATAAAGCAGTATGGCTTTTTTTGTTTATTAGTAGAAGATCTGTTTTCTGACTTGCACACAGACCATGTCCCACAGTTCTGAGTTTTGGCCCTTCTGCTCATGATGTACTTAGATAGTTTTAGAGTCAGACTATGGGTCTCAGCTCTGGCAGCATGCTGTTGTGCGTGGTAGGGAGTTGAGGATAATCACCCAGGCCATAAATCTTACCAGTAGTCACCAAATCACTGGAAGTCATGGGGTTTTTTGGTCACGTATAGAGGCATGAGCAAAAACAGCAAATGCATATCATAGACACCTAAAGTCACTCTTAAATTCTTTTTCCTACACAGAGCTCAACAAAAATCCAGTGGAAGGCTTTTCAGCGGGCTTAATAGATGACAATGATCTTTATCGATGGGAAGTCCTTATTATTGGTCCTCCAGATACACTATAGTAAGTACTGATACTTATACAGAAACTTAAGTGAACTTGGATGTACTAGTTCCAGTTTGGTCTAAGTGAGTAGAAGTTAACCTAAATCTTCATACTAAGTTAGGTAATGCTGTTCTGTTGTTAGTAAAACACCTGTAAATAGTTGAATTTGCTATATAGACATTCTAAACTGCTTTGCTCTCCTGGGAAAATGCAACACTGATTCCTTTGTACTTGCATAGAAGTGAGGAAGAATAAGCTATCCTTAAAGAAAGCTTCTGTTTTCTTACTCGTTTAGGTAAGGCATGTATAATCCACTATTTGCTGTTATTGCTGTGAGGCTCTAGCTGATAGTACAGTTTTAAACCATTACAACTTCATGCTGGTGATTTGTAGGAAAATATTCAAGAGGGATGTAGTTGAGGAAACTGCAGCAGACCATAGAATTAGCCTCAAGTCTTGCCAGTTTGAGGTGGGAGAACTTGCTAGTGTGACCTAGAGTACTTTGGGGTTGATCAAATTTGAATTGATGGCAAACCTTGCACAGTGGGCTTCATTCAAAAAGCTTATATCTTTATCCTAAGGACTGGGTTCTTTAATTGACATTTGAACACAAAACTATGCAGTTCATACAGTAACTTCTTTTCCTGGACTTTAAGTTAGCTGTGTTTTTTGCACTGCTATATACATGAATATACCTATATATGCACTCTGGCAGATGCAGTATGGTTGATTTGTTGTGTGGTTTTGGGGGTTTTTTTTGGTTTGGTGGGTTTTGGTTTTTTTTTCTTGTTTTTTGTTGGTGCTTTGTCTTTTTTTTTTTTTTTAAAAAAGAGCTCTGGCAAATTGAGAGAAAGATTTTTCTTTCTCATAGAGATTGTATATGGTAATCTACTGTAGCTCCTGGGAAAAGGTTCTATGCCCAGAAGAAGTCAGTTTAAAGTGTAGCTCTTGAAGATGAACTCTGTTCTCCTTCATTAAGCTGTTCCAGTGGTAAATTACTGATACAAAAAGCCTAGTGACATTTACTTGAGGTCAGTTTTAGTTCCAACATGAAGTTGCTGTATACCTCTGTCTGCAGACTTCTGAATAAGTACTTATGCACAGTAATTGGATTGCTTTGCTTCTCCTCAAGCTCACTACATTGTGATTCTCAAGTCTTGCATGAGATGAATTCTCCAACTTCTGTTGACCTCTTCCGAACAGTCTTCTAGTGGCTCTAGTGGCCATTTTATAAATACTGTCAGTAAAGAAATATTGCTTTTAATTGAACCTCTTCTCACATGTTAAAAATTGCAATAGCATTTTTCCCCCACTTCAGTAAGGTGCTGAGCTTGTTTTGAGGCTTTTAGGCAAGAAGCTCTCTTCTGTTCCAGTCCCTACTTGCTGCTTTTCAAGGTAGTATTATACCGAATCCTTCTTCCCTGGTCCATTTTTATGAGGACAGTAGAACATAACAGTTTACCTTAACCGGGCGGTTCAAAATTTTCAAACTTTAGTGTCATTCCTGGTCTCACTTTATTCTGAGTTTACCTAAAAAGACTTTAGACTCAGTACATGACTCTACTGACAGAGACCCCTTTATCAGGAATATTGCAAAAAATGGTACTGGCCTCCCTTAATTGACAGTTGTACTTCATTAACTGGTTTCTAACGTGTATCCAATTAAACAGCTGCATTTATATGTAGATGATGAGGAGCAACCAGGGATGCCATACAGCCTAGTAGCTTTAGGATCTGCTCCTTCAAAAAGGGAAAGAAGAACTTTTTCTCTTTGCAAGGAAGGACTTAACTGGTTTGGGGCTATCAGCAACTGTAACCTAACTCTTCTTTGTCTTGACTAGTATGGATGTTAAAATAGTCAGTGTTTCTAGATTTCTTACCCTTCCCAGGATCAAGGACTCTTTGCAAACTGCCTTTTCTAAATCTTCTGGAAAAGGAATGCTGTGGGTTCAGATCCCCTCAGCTGCTTTATTTTAAGAGCCAAGTCACTTGGTTCTAGTGCTTTTTGGGGTTGGGGGTGGTTTGTTTTTTTTTTTTTTTGAGACACTTGCTAGAATTGCACATCTTTTGGTTCGTGGGGGTAAAACTTGTTGTTTTCTCAGTAGCCTGTGGGCTTTGGATACTGACTCCTACTCATTTACAAATACAGGGAAAAAAAAGGCACGAATAGGTTTTTCTACACCAATTCTTTTGTCTGCGTGGCTACCGAGAAGTAGCTTGTCATGGCACGCCTTGTGCCACCTTCTTTGGAGGTTGTGTTCCAGCTTTTGTATTCTGTGCCTTTGCAATTTCAAATTTTGTTACAAACTTCAGTTATGAGAAATGACATGGCAGGGCAAATGTTACAGTACTTAAATTAGTGAGGTATTCCATCTGTAAGGCTTTCCATTTAATATAGGCCTTCCCATATTTCAAAAGGGACTATTCCTGGGTATTGAAACCTAGCTATTTAAAAAAAGAAAAAAACAACACACTGTTACCTTAGTTAAATATGGGCATGTAACTCCACGTAAAAACTGCATGTCTCTTGTTTATTATTGTTTTCCAGTTTAGTGGGTAACTGTAATGCAGAACACCTCACTGTCATGTCTGAGTCACTTTAGCTTAGCCTTGAAAAGGTAGTATTGGAAGCCTTTTTACAAAGTACTGCCGTAGACACAACCATACAGCTTTCAGTAACTTTTCACTGAGGCTTACTGCTGCAGGCTGATACCAAGAAATTAGGACTGATGTGCCTGAAGGAAGAAAATAAACAGGTATCTGCTGGGCTGTACCTGAGAAGGGGAGTTACTGGCAATACTTTTTTTCTGTTAGTAAATGTACTGGGAGGAAGAATGCAAGTTGTAATTCCAGATGGTGAATTTCTTGGCAGTTTTTTTTTTTTTTTTTCTTTTCCCTTTTTGTGTGTGTTTTCCCTTCTGGAACATCATCCTAATTCTGAAAAAGATACAGTGTTGGGGAACTGGCAGTATCTTGTGAAAGGATCTTCTCAATCTAGAAGCTCTTTGCATTGCATATGCAAATGTTGGTACTGTTAATTACCAACATGAAGTTAAGCTGTGTGAGGGGTAAACTTAGAGCTTTTGATACATCAGTAAGTTCCAATCTTCAGTTTAAGCTTACAAGAAACTCTACTAAGATATTTTTGATTCCCCAGTGAAGGTGGTGTTTTCAAGGCTCATCTTACTTTTCCAAAAGACTATCCACTGAGGCCGCCAAAAATGAAATTCATCACAGAAATCTGGCATCCGAATGGTAAGAAATGTCAAAGTTTCAATTTCTTTTCACAATTAAGAACTAAAATGCGGTGAGGACAAATGGATACACTTCTGTTCATGTTAGAAATATGAAACTCTGCATTTACTTTGCTATCTGCACTTCATAAAACTCTTCACAGCAGAGGTTTTAATAGTGCTGCTTTGAAAGACTGCTCCTAAAGTATATTCAGAAGCTAGTGAAAGTAGCTTCTTGAATTCTTGGTAACTGTTCAGGGATTTCTTTTATTTATTTTTTTTTCCTAAGTGCAATATTCTGGTTTGAGGAGAAACTTGACTTCTATAGCTGCCTTTTATTATACCTTCAAATATTTCATCTTAGTGTTACTAACTCGGCAGTTCAGTATAGAAGGCCCAAGGTTGTCCTCCTCTGGTGAAGCATGAAAGGAGGCATCTTTTAGTCCCTCCAAAGAAGTCTCCTCATAATGTTTGGTTTACTTACGGACTGCTGGACATAGATGGGAAGGTAAAATAAAATGGAAGAGGGTTTTTACTGGGAAGGAGGAATGCTCTTCAGTCTCTAAAGTAATTATTGAAGTTGTAGATGTTGAAAGCTGGGAGGAGACAAGCACAGTGCTCCCATCATAAGGGACAGAAGGAATATTTTGATGCTGTGTCAGTTTTAGCTCCAGAAATATCAGAGTACTTGTCAAGCAGTTTCTAATTCCAGCAGCTTAAATCATGTTCCAGTATATTGCAGTAATATTCGGCTGATTCTGTTGCTGTGGAAAAAATGTCGCTCTGTAGTTTGCTGAACTTAACAGAAAAAGCTTTAGTGGAAGCCTATCTAAATAGTCTTGAAAGTTGCAGCATTATGTTAGAAATAAGTTCTTCCTCCCCATGTGCCCTCTCTGCCAGAAGTCCAGGCATAATAACAGGCTTCCACCAAGCTCTGTTTATTACAGATTGAGTTCTGTAATAGTTAATTACTTTTTTTTATAAAGTGTCTTCACTAACATGTTTTCTGACTAGCTGGAGTGAAGATTAACAGTTCTATAACTATCCTGAAGAAATGCCAGTATGTTGTTCATTACTGAAATATGCCTTGTTCTATTTTGTAGTTGACAAGAATGGCGATGTCTGCATTTCAATTCTTCATGAGCCTGGAGAAGACAAATATGGCTATGAAAAACCTGAGGAACGCTGGCTTCCCATTCACACAGTGGAAACTATAATGATTAGTGTTATTTCTATGCTGGCGGATCCCAATGGTGATTCTCCTGCTAATGTTGATGCAGCGGTAAGATTTTTCTTGGGTCTGCCAGTTGTCTTCAGTGTAGAAACCTAAACTTGCAATGGAGTTTTGCTTCTAGTTTGACAAACAGTACAGGAACTTTTGGAAGAACCTTTTCTATCACAGGCGAAGGCTACCTTGTTGTTGGGAAAAGCAGTGATGTTGTGAAACAGAATTACTTGTTAGCCCTGGGAAATTTCTTACAGATTGCGAAGGAAAGATGCTGTCAAATTTCATAGGTAGGGGTTTAATTTCTGCTATGAAATCATGCATTTATTTATAGTAAATAACTTGTGCACAGAGATATTTAATGGATAAACTTCAGCTCCTTTAGTCTTAAAAAATTCAAGGAAGCTGGCTGTAAAATCCTGTGTGGCTATATACATGTAGTGGTTACAACTGCCATTAAGTTTAGTTGCAGAAGTTAACATATTCTGGAACGTTTTTGTTTCCTAGTACGTTATTACTGTAACGCAGCAAAATTTTTGTTCTGGAAATTATATAACCTGTTAACAGATTTATTGATTTGAATGGAAGGAGAAAATGTGGCGGGGTCCCTCAGTATAATTACGTTGTGACTTTTTGCATCCACCTCTCTACAGCAGTCTTCCTGGATCATGGATTAAAGCAGTAGGTTTGACTCTGTAGGTCTGTGCTTTCAGAGTGTACTTGAAAGCTTCACTGGGCATCTGGCCTTCAACTCTGGAGGAAGTGTTGTCCCAGACTAGAATGACTGGCTAAGGAGTGAGGAAGAATGGCCTGTTTTATAGTTGAAGATGAGGGTGAATTTGCAGTAAGGATTCTGTCATAAGTGAGATGCAAGTGTTTCATGCAGCGTAGTGTTTATGAAGCATGGCCTATTCTGCCTGAGTGTATAAACACAGCTATCAGCTCTCTAGAAGAGTTGCATTTATAGCAGAATTGCAGTTAGACTAATAACTATTTGTGGTGGGGAGAGAAAAAATTCTTAGTTCTGGGGGGGAGTAGGGGAACAGACTTCAGGCCCCATTCATCTGAGGTATGCTAACATGCTTTCCTTTGAATTAGTCTTGAATTGTGGTTCAGCAGTGACTAATACATGCTGTTCTCTCACAAAAGAGAAGTTCTAGGTCTTTTAACTGGGGGAGTGAGGAGAAGGGAGATAGTAATCAGAAGATGCAGAGTTTTCTTTGGAGGAATGTTAACCTGCTCTGTCAAGCTAGCTATACCTTCCTGAAGTGGGTGGGAGTTCAGTTGCCTGAAGCCTTTCATCTGCTATGCTGTTAGTATTTCCAGAGGCGGCTGAGCTCTGTGGAAAAATCATCATGGGAATAGTCTCATATGGAACAAACTTAAGGGAAGGAAAAACAGAAACAAACACAAAAGTTGTAGTGAAGGATTCCCTCATTTAACGTTCTTTTGAGTGTTGGACCTCCCCTTCTTGTGTCATGTTACTGGTGGAAGCAAATACCCAGGACAACATATGGATGTTTCCTGCTGGCAAACCTGAGAGCACTGGAAGGAGCAAGTTATTAATGAAATGCTGAAAGTACAATTAGAATTCCTCAGTTTACAAACTCAAGTATGTTGAATATAGCTGGCCTAACACTTTTAGCTATGCTTGTCACCTTTCTAGCATCACAAGCTTTTTAATCTTTATGTATTGTGCCCCATTCTCTGCCTGCTACTTCAGGAGTGATTTTTTTTTTTTTTTTTTCTCCTTAGGGAGAGATGTTGGATAGAAAACTATGACTTTATTTACCTAAACCTTAGTGTAAAGGTTGAAAATGTGTTAAGGAAACACAGCATTTTCTAGCACAGCTTGCAAGAATAAAAACTTAAATCCAAATCTGACTGTGAAGACAGTACGGAGGCATCACTTTGGATGCTAGGAACTATTTTTCTGACTGTGGTATTAGATGTTCAAACTAACTTTTAAACTTAATGTGCTGCTTGAGCAGCTTAGCATCTTCTGCTGGACTGTAGATTGCATACTCTTCATCTTAACCAGAACATACTCATTAGGGTAATGAAGAATCAGCAGCTCATGTGCTTTATTCTGAGCTGCTATCAAGATGTCTTCTATTTGGTTTACTGAGCACAAGTTCACTGCAGCAGCAGTGTTTGACAGTTACTAAAAGATACTTTGTCTGCTTTCATTTATTTCTAGTTTTAAGAGAATAAGGTGTTATAGGTAGGTCCCAGAATTATAGGAACAGGGGGTATACCTGCTTCCTGGAAAAATGAACTATGCATGTTGCAGTACTGTCTCTTGGAATGGGAGGAAAACGAAGGACAGGAGCCTGAATAGATACTGAGAAGCAAATAGAACAGTTAATGACCTAATATAAGGTTTTTGGAGAGATCGCTGTCAAATTGGAAACTTTGCTTGCTATTCAATTCTGAACACTTGCTTCATAGAACTATAAATATAAAAGGCAGAAAAAACTCTAAGAATCTGAAGCTAGGAGGGCACAAATTTAATGCTTTTCTTGGCCTTAAGCCACCTTGTGTAAATTGTCCTATGTCCCAATCCAAGGAACCAAATGCTTGCTGTATTAATTGCTGAAAAAGAACAAATTAATTAGTAGCCTTATTTGTGCTTTCACTGGAAAGATAAGACACACTGGGCTTTCCAACGTGCTGACTGGCTAGGTCAGCTTGGAGGTGGTGAATGTTAGGATATGCCAGTTATCCTAATTTTCTCTCACTCAAATGTGCTACAACCTTCATTCCAAGTAGGGGGTGAAGAGGTGTTACATGCTAGGCTGCTTCAGGTAAAACTGGTGTGTGGGTGTGGTTTTGGTTGTTTTTTTTTAGTTTTTTTGTTTTTTTTTTTAAATCCCTTCCCTCACCCCTGCAGTAAGAATATATTGCTTATATCAAAAACTAAGAACTGTAGAACTTAATGAAATGAGGGGGTTTTCATATTTTCTCACCACTTCTTGCCTAACTGTAAGGCAGTACCCAACATGTCAACCGTAGTCACATTGTATGATGCTCCTATGCTTTCATCTGAGCTCATCATAAGGCTGGCACAAAAAACTTTAAACTGGCTGCACTTTTTCCTGTGGGTTTTTGTGATACCATGGTGTGCACGTCTCCAGGTTCAGACTTAACCTCTTGCCTATCTTCCTGTTCATCTTTATCTTTGTTCTTCATCTATGCAGTTCTGAAATCAGATACGTGTCACAGAGACCATCCCCATAGGTGTGCTGAGTATTCTGTTAAGGTCTTTCTCATGGAGCCAATATCTTGTAGCCATATCTAACTAGGAGGTGTTTTCTTTCTAAGGACACTGCTGTGCTTCTTCTGAATACTGTGACTTCTGTATTTCTATCCTGGAGTGTCCTGGCTAGATTAAGATGGAGTTGAAACTGTCCTAAAAATCCTAGAATAACTACTAGCTCCACAGCAGCTGTGTACCTTTTTTCATCACTACAGTTTAAAGACATTTTCTCTAACCTGTAACAATAGCTTGTGGTCTACAGCTTGAGTTTGCTGCTCATTTGCAGGCTGAAGTAAATAGATTTCAGCCTAGAAATTTTGAAGTATTGGTAGCCATCAGGTTAGTCTTGCATAATGCCTAAAACCCAAGGGGGAAAGACTGTGTCCTCACTGTCTTGTTTGTGAGCAGCTTGTGTAGAAACCCAGAGCAAGCTTTCAAAAGTCCTGAATGTCACAGGTTTTCAGTGACTAGCTCAATGACTGTAAGCAAATTTAGGTGTTGACTAGATGGCTAATGTCTGAAAATGTAAACACCAAGAGTCTTCCTAGAACTTGCACGTTGTTATAGGACTGACATCTGAAAGCTGTCTATTCAATTACAGAAAGAATGGAGAGAAGACAGAAATGGAGAATTTAAAAGAAAAGTTGCCCGCTGTGTAAGAAAAAGCCAAGAAACTGCTTTTGAGTGACACTTATTCAGCAGCTAGTAGCTTCACTTTTTTCAGGGTAAGTATCCTTCTAAAGACAAGTCAGTTACCCGAGTTGAGGATTTCCTGCTTAAGTGTTGCTGAACTATTTTTTTTTTTTTTCCTCTTCAAAAGCAAAAAACCCCAAACCTTTCTTCTCAGCTGCATGGTCTCAGTGGAGTTCTTTGGCTGTATGTGATACTGAAGACTAAAAGAATTTTCAAGTGCAGTAACAGCCCCTTCCGCCAAGATTGTTTTGCTTCTCTAGTACTCTTGCATTTGTGCTGTTCAGAAATTGAAGTTCTCTTTATCAGTATTCATCCTGCTTTATTAATAGTGCTTAGGAGTTACTAGAGCTGTAATAGAAGGGAATAATCATTCTTTCCTGTTCATTATTGTGAAGAATACTTGTTTGAATCTTAAAAGCATCCTGTCTTGCTATCTCAAGTTCATATATATATATATACACACACATATATACATATACATATGTATGGAGTTTATCTTGCAGGTGTTGGTGGGATGTTGCATGTAGGTTTTAAGACTTTAGTGAGGTTGTTAGGAACCATTTGGTAAGGATTGCTTCAGGTATCTATGGAAATTGTAATAGAAAGTCTACTAGTATATCAGAAAGGATCAAGTTGAGATATTACCCATCAATAATATCAAGAAAGGTGGTGTTCTCTTCAGCAGCCCAAAAAACTTTTTTACTCGGGAATAGCTTCAGAAAAACAGCTATATTCCGCTTGAAAACCGAACTGTAGCATATCTGAGAGCCTGGACAAGTTTTAACCTGAGAGTAGCTGATGTGATGCATGCACTTCATGCCACCCTGTTAAAAACGAGCTTCTGACTCAAGATACTCTAATTTGAACAATCTCATCCTAGTTTTAATGGGACTTCTTTTTTTAATTACAATAAGCTCTTGCAGAAAGCTCTGTATTAAAACATGGCCCTTAAATACCTGGCCTTTGGTCACTTTAATCTTGGTATGCCAATGAAAAACTTCCTCAACTAGCTAATAATTTCCCACTCTTGCTTTTCAAAGCAAAACAGACCTTTGTGTTGAAGCTGTCTTTTCCTAATGGTTGGTTTGGCAAATAAACTACTCTGAACCATTTGGTTGGGGAAGCTCCAAACCATATATACTAGTTAGCTTCACCATACAAAACCTGGGGGGGAGAAATACAGCACTGTATGTAGTTTAAAGGGGTTGTACTGTCTGAACAAATAGAACGGCTTACTAAATGTTCCTGCTTAGTTTTGCTTCACTAAGGTTGTACAGGAGATACTTCCTTTCTTATACTTTGTAAGAATTGTGGGGGTTGGGGGTGGGGGAAGGCTCCATCCTGTGACAAACTAGTACTGCAGTATCTCTTCTCTGCAGAAATGCTTTGATTGAATGGAATTTCTCCAGTATAGAGAAAGCATGAAAAATGCTTAATATTGATCAAAAGACTAAGCAAAGGAACTGAATGTCTTGTACAACTGCCTGTAACTAGAGCATAAGAATTGTTAATGTAGCTGACAGTTTTTTCTCCCTAAGAGAAAGGGAATAACTGTGAGTAACACTCCAGAGTGTCCTTAACTAACCTCAGCTCTGTTGCTATGTTAAACTTGGCCATAGTGAAACAATGCTCATGACAGATATTTAAGTAATTGGCTGTGTTGCTTTTTTGGAAGGCGAAAGCTTTTCTAAGTCCTGGTGACTCCTAAGTGAGTGATGGGCAATGAACTGGATGAGAAGGGGCCATATAGCTGGTTTCAAACAAGCACAGTCTGACTTGGTAGCTGTCGTGTTATTGCTTAATGAAGCACTGTTATGCCATTTTGTACTGCACTTTGCTGTTGAAGCAGCGTCCATCCCTCGCAGTAAGTGATGCACAGAAGTTTCAATGCTAAATCTACAAGTGTTTAGCCCTATGTGTGAATAATCAAACATTTACACACTGTGCACTTGACAAGCAACACAAGTAACAGGAGCCTGAAAGTCTGATAGTTGAGCTTGGATACACAGAATGCTGAACTAACTCAAATCTTTCTCAGGTGATGGTTTTGGATTTATGCACCTTCTGTTTTAGAGGTATGTAAAGTTCTTGAACAAGTAGTGATTATCTTCCTTGAGCTTGAAATACTATTTAACATCTTTAAAATAACTGAGGATGACAAGGGGTTTTATTTTAATACCTGTGATTTCTTTGTAGGTCTCCAATTGAGAAACATGGCACTGTTTTTTTTCCTGCACTCTACCCACCTATTGCTGGACTTCTGTTGTTACAAGTTGGCAAACACTGGCTGGAACTGGGCTGCAATAAAACATGCCAGTTATCAATGCTGACAAGAGCCTAACAAGTGCCAACACAAGATGATTACGCATTTTGAAATCTAATGAACTGCTTTAACCTTCAGGAAGAATTGTAAAGATGTGTACATAGCACAACATGATCCGGATAATATATATACTGTTCATGTACATCCACAAATACACATTGTACCAAATAATGCTGTCTGTAGTTAGGAATAGAATCGTGTAAATTCTAAAGATTTTAGCAGGTTTTTCTCTCCCTATTCATTGTTTCCTATCAGTTTGAAAAAAAAAAAAAAACCCCCAACAAAAACAGCAACAACTTGTGAAGCATGTCAAACTAAACCCAATTAGGATAAAGTTGTTTTGTTTTTTTCCCTCCCCACTTAATTTCCTTTGACCCACTGAGGCTTAATTAAAATCTCTTGCTTATTAAAGTTTAGTATCTCTTTTTTGGTTTTTGGAAATGTGCTCCCTTTTATTTCCCCCATCAGAACTTAAAATTTTGCTAATTAAACCCTGAAAGGATTTGCTGTCGATTACTTGTGTCTTCTTTTATGATGACCTTTGTAGTCTCAAAGGTACTCTTTTTTTTTTTCTTCCCACTCCTTTTCTAAACCCAATTGCGCATACTTATTGAATTGGGTATAGCAATAAAACTGGCCATGGAGCACCCTTGAGCAGCCGGCTGGATTTTTAACTTCCAAGGGACTTGAGTGCTTTCATTTGGAAGTTCAGTTGACTAAGTTAGTCCAAGATAGAAATGAGCTGCTTTTTATGGGTGATTTTTTTTTCTCTTCCTTTTTCATTGCCTGTTTGTGGGGTGGGGTGTGTGTGGGGGAGGCTTGTTTTTTCTCAAGGTTGAGTTCAAGCATGCACATCTGTAGGCTTTCAAATGACTAACTTCTGGGTTTGGTATCAAAAATAGTTTCCCTCCTTTTCCCTTTTCTCTTTTCTGTGGCCCTTCATCTTCTTTGCCTTCCACTTCAGAGTTTTCCTCACCTAATGTACAAAGAAAATTGCGATGTATATTTTCATGTAATTTGATTTTTGGAATTCTGTCACCTTCTGTAGTGAGTTCTTCCAAAAATATAATTTTTTCCAATAATAATGTGTCAAACTGGCTGTCTTGAGTACCGAAATAGGAAGGGTAACTGCAGTTGGAGCACAACTTACCTGACCATGTTCAACAACATAACATCAGCAAACATTTGTTGAATTTTACGTACTGTATTTAATCTTGAAATAATTAAAAAGCAAACACCACACACCTTTCTTCCTCTTGTAACCATCTTCGGTCCTCTAGGGAGCAAATACTAATCTCGGAGTATCCAGTAACAAGAGTTCTCCAAGCCTACCTGAAATACCTTTCTACCAAAGAAACTTTGTAGAGGAACTTGCAACTACTTGACTGTTCTCTGTTCTGTCACATGTTTACCATGGCTTTTAACAGTACAGAGTAACCCACTAATAAATCAAGAGTTCCAGTGTTAAAGAGTCATCTTGTAAGAAGCCTTCAGTACTAATTTTCTGTCTGGCTGGACTTTGTTTTGGGTTGCTGTGCAACATGCATATGCTAAAAGGCATACATTATAGGTTTCTTGAGGGGTGGGCTGGTGTGGAAGAAGATGACAATTATTAGTGGCAAGACAGCCATATGGAACAAAAAAGCCCCTTAGTAAGGTGACTTACAAGTAAGGGTATTACTTGCTTCTACAGGTGGTTTAGACAAACATAGATGTGTTTAATGTCCACATTTACATATTTGGTAACTAATTATTTTGAGAAATCATTAAGTTAAATTTGCTTTTAATTGGATAGCCTGCTCATGTAGGCAGGCAGATGTGTGCAGTACTTCAGAGCTATTAGTGCCCAGGCACAACAGCTGATTTTAGTTCCCATTTGAGTGCTTGTCAAAAATTGCTTGAGAAGAGGTTTCTTGCCCACCAGCTGGCTACCCTTTTTCACTTATCTAAGAGTTGGGACTGTGCAGAATTTCAGTGGTATGGTGCCATTTTTTCTATAAACAAAACATTGGGAAGAAGCTACTCTTCCTAAACCTAGCAGTGGACTTCTTCCTCTATGGGCTTTCCTTTCCACAGTGTATCTGAAGAGCTGGCAGCAATTCAAGATAATTGGTACTTGCTGCTTTCAGCAAGTTCAACAGTGTTCTCTGTTTTGTCTTCCTAAGTAATACATACAGGTCACAACCGACTCATCTGTAAACTTCACAAAACAGTTTAAAGCTTTAATTTTTTCATTTGCTCTCCAGAACTTTGTTTGTTCTTTAAGGGGTAGGCCTGGAAATGTTAGTCGTGCATCAGTAGTATGGAAGAACTGTTAATTCCATAGCAGTGTTGGTTCCCCTCTTTGTAAATTATTCAAGTATAAACTCACTTCTGTTTGGCTTACCCAGATGGTTTGTGAGTCCACATGACCCAGATATTCCAAAGGAAGCAGTGTTATTGTGGGATACTGTTAAGACATACAAGCTGCATGTATGGCTAATGCCCAATGACTTAATGAAGGAGGTAGCTAAGGGTCTGGTGCCAAATGTCCAGGTTGTCGAAAGCCTCTGGCGGGCATGGAAATGGCCTATTTAACTTTTCTCTGATCATAGTTGGCTTTTTGTTTGTTCTTGCCCCACACGTGAAAGGGATCTGGCTATGATTACTGATACGACCAGAAGTTTCTGCTTAGCCTCAAGATAGGAACGCCACTGAAGAGATGGAGTATGTACAAGTAGTACTACAATACTTGTTGAACAATCAAGTAAACCAGTATTCTTACTCAGATGCACTTGTACCAAGATCTTGTATCTAGTTTGGTTTATGTAGGCTGTCAGCATACTGGATGATCAATTACACTTTTCTAGTTCTCTGGAGGCTTGTAATTATGGCTGAGTTTTTGTGCTGTTTTTTCCCCCAACACGTAGTGTCCTGCTTTCCAGGTAACACTGCATCACTGGGGGAAAAGGAAAGAAAAGCATGGAATTCTAATAAATATCAAAGTAGTACGGCCATCCTAATTCCTTTTTTTATATTACTCCATGCTGCCCCTTATGCATCAGAGAAGATCTCTGTAAAAAGCAGAAGGGCTGTTCAGCTGTCATGCTAAAATTCTTTCCTGCTGTGATGCCTCGAAAACGCTTACTGAAACTAGATGATCAATAAATGGAGAACATTAAATCTGAAGCGATTATAAGTGTATTTTCATTTTTTGGTAGGCTGATGGGGGGTGGACTTTTTACTGCATCTGTACCATCTGGTGCACTGCTCTTGTACGGTGCCATCACAAAGCAGACAGGAGCACCACGAGTCTTATAATTTCTGCATATCTTCAGAGGCACGTACGAGTGATTTCAAACCAAACCAGAAGGTGCTTGGGTTTTAAAGAGAGGCTGTAATAATACTGCTTCCTGCCCAGGCAAATCCTCAACAGAAAATGAGATTGCTGATTCCCCAGGTGCAAAACATAGCAGTTGTTTGAAATCTGATCTTGGTTGCTACTCAGAAATTCAACTAAGACTAAATCTGATCAGGCAGTAATAACTGTTTCCTTGCAGTTACTCAAGATGATCAATAGCACCCATAAAGCAGTGGTTTAAGTTAGCTACATTGTCACTGAGCTGCAAAACATGAGACAGGCCCTGTTTCGTGCTATGTCTAGAAAACTACAGTCTCTGGCTTGCCTAGGCCTAGTTCTGGTTTTGCTGTTTTATCCAATGGGCACAGAAAACTTAAGATATGAGGCAGAGTGACTTTTCAAAGATCACTTAATGGTGAAGTCAGGAAAAAATTACATCTGTAAAACAACACTGTGCATAATGCGTTCAAACATTTATTTGAATTTTGCTCTCAAAAGCAAACAGAAAAATTGCTGTTGCATCGGTGTAGAGTATTTTGGTATTTCTGTTGCATAAAGGCAGGAAAGATCATGAGCAATGAAAACAGTCGAGGGTCAGCTATGTTGTACACATGGCTGCGGAAAATGATCCTGTTACTGTTTCTTGGTCGTGGCCCGTCTTGACTCTCAACCACACTTTTTACCCACCGGGCACAGATCCGGGTGCTAGGACTGTTGACTCTGAAACAAAAGCAATACATGCAGGAACTGAAGTAACGATGATTCGAGTAAAAGCCGAGCGCTGAGTAAGAGACCCCGTCAGATTGCAAACCCGTGCTGGCACTTCCAGTAGCTGTGCTGGAACTGGGTGAGCAGGAGAAGGCACACGCTGCTTTTGGGGTGTGCTAAAGCCAGTGCACGCCGGTGGCTTTCAGTGCAGGCCGAACCGCAGGTGAAGCGAAGGCGGCCGTCACGCCCTGGCCCCGGCTGCGCTCTCCCCTGGCGCCGGGCGGTTTTCTCCCGCGTTTCCCAGCCCTCCGGCTCTGGCCGTCGGTGTTTTACTGCCAACGCGGCCATCGCGCTGTTCAACGGCCGGATCGCCCGGACAAGAAGCCTTATCTCGGGGAGGAGGAGGAGGGGAGAGGGAAGGGACACCCCAGAGCGGTTAAAACCAGCCGCCGGCTGCCTCCTGCCGCTGCTCCCGGGCGAAACGCCTCAGGCGCAGAGCCGGAGGCCGGTGGGCCCCGCCGCCTCCTGAGGGGACGGGGAGCGGGCGGGGCGAGGCCGACCCGCCGGCTGGCTCCCAGGGGCCGGTTTGAGGGTGGGGGGGGGGGGGAGCCGCCGGTATAAAGCGGAGCGGTGCCAACCCCGGCCCGGCGTGCCCGGGGTTCCCGCTGAGAGCAGGCGGCGGCCGGAGCGGGGCGGGGGGCGTCCCGCTGGTCTCGCGAGAGCGCCAGGCTCGGGCGGCGGGGCGGGCGGCGGCTCTCGCGAGAGCCGCGGCCCCGGACCCAACATGGCGGAAGGTAAGGGGGGGAGCCCGGGCGAGGGGCCGGGCGGGGCCGCGGCCGCCGGGTGCGCGGGTAGCGCCGCTGGCCGGGGTGGCTTCTCCGCTCGCAGGGGACCGGGGCAGCCTCCGTGTGGGGCTTCTGCTTTTTTCCTCTGTGGGACTGGCTCGGCCCTGCCCGCGGCGGGTGGGCCAGGCCGCCCCCGAGGTGAACGTGAAATTGGGGGGGGGGGGGGGTCTGCCCTGCCCGGGGCCGCGGGCTGGTACTCCCGGGGGTAGGGCGGGCCTGGCGTGGGCGCCTTTGCCCCTCAGGGAGGGGGATTTGGGGGGGTTGCTGTGGCTCTGGGCTGTAGTGGGTGGTGGGGAGCCAGCCGGGACGTCCCGCCGACTCCCTCCCCGCACTTCGCCGGTCAGGCGGGAGCTGCGGTGGGTGATGCCGCCTGTCCCGGGGCTGCCGGGACGAGGAGAGCCCGGCGCGGTCTGTCGGAGTCGCTGCGGGCGGCGGCTTTTCGTGGAGTAAGGCGGAGAGGCTGTGCTGCAGCCTCCGGGTCACTTGCTGCTGGGGGTCCCTTTGTCAAATTTGGGCTCTAATGAGATCTGCAGGACTCCTAGACTGCTCTTGTTTTGCTTGGAGGCTATCAGTTACACCATTTCGAAACTAATTTAACTGAGGTAATGGAATTTGAGAAGACACTTGGATTTTTACAGTCCTCCTTTCTGCAAGACAGAAGCTTCCTCTTTTCCTCCCTGGAGGGAACCAAGTCGGCAAACTGAGCTAAAATGCCCCAAGTTACAAAGGAGACGAAGGCTCTAACTTACAGTCTTAAAAGCACAGCCTTTGACTCTTGAAGTGCAACTCTCAGACAGTGGTAGAATTTTAAAACCACCTGTGGAAGATTAACTAGGATATAGCATATGCTGATCTTCTGGCATGCATCAGCCAAGAGGATGCTGCAGTCAAGCTGGTTTAATAAATCCTTAGAGCAACTCCTTACTTTTTGTGTGCTAAAGTACCACTGTTTCATATGTAGCTGGCTAGCCTCTTAGACTTGCTTTTAAGCCTTGGTGACCCAGTTCTGGTGGGCATTAGATGTCAAAGATGTCTTCAGGTGGTGAAACTTTTGCTACTGAGACCCGCAAGGACCTGAGGCTCTGGTTCAGTGTCCCGCTCTGCGGAATGAACCTGCAGCTGATGCAAGCCCTGTTTCAGACATCTATACTTATCAAAGATTCTTCCCTAATTCAAGTAATTCTCTGATCTTTTGGCTAAAGAAGGCACGTGACCAATGAGTGATCCTGCGTGAACAGGAGTAATAAGTTGGAGTTGTAGCTCTCCCCACTCAGTTTCTTCTGATATCTGGGTGGAGGGGCTCATTTTGTCCCTTCAAACAAGTAGCTATTTGCAGCAACGCTTCTCTAGTTAAGAACTGATGGTATTGGAGAGTCAGCTGAAAAGTGAAGGCTTATTAAGGAAGGGAGCTTGTCAAACTGTGGTCATCTGCTCAGAAGCTGAGTGCCTTTTTGTTTTGGAAGCATGGACTCTGTATGGAAGTCCTGAATTAGATTTATTGCAATTATTAGCTACAAATTGATTGAACAGTTTATAAAGAAAAGAGCCGAGCTTGCTTGTCTGATTTCTGTGAGAGTTCTGTACCACCAATACCAGAGGATACTAGGTTACATGCAGGCATGGGTAAAAATTGTTGGATTAATGCTTGAATCTAAAGCAATAGGAAGTATGCTGTAGCACTTTGGGATGGTTGTCAGGGTAAAGATTATAAGTGTGCAAAAATGAGGAGGAACAACAAAACAGCTTGTACAGCCTTGTGGAGGTGGGGGTCAGAGTGTGGAGCAGTGGATGAAGGACTTGAGGGGGTAAGGAAATATGTTTTTCTGAAATATTTCACTCGGGTCCACTTCATAAATAAACAAAAGCTTCTGTGACTGCTTTTGATGGGTGGGGTGGGCAGTGTAATGGGTTCCGCTAGACCTTCCCTCTAGTTTTTGGTACATGCTATCTGTCACCACACTGCCTGTTACCTCCCTGCTTATCTCTTTGGATTCAGCTATCTAGTTGCTCTTGAGTACTTTTGTGCCTTCTCCTATGAGAACATTTCAGTAGCCTTTTCTGAAGTCCTCTTTAATATCTTTGACATGGAACATAAACTTCTGCCTGTTCATGAGATGCTAGTCTATCTGCCAGAAAGCTGTTAACAACACTGCTTTTATTTTGTCTAGCCATCTGTTAACTCTGTACCTGGACTATGGGCTCAGAAAAGGAGTCACTTTGTGTATGCCTCTGCTGAACCCAGGCATCCTCTCACTGATGCATGTGGATTGATGTTTAGCCAGAGACTTACTGGTATCTTCCAGTGAGTCTGTCCTTTCAGTGTCTTGATGCAAAGAACTTCATTAGGTGTGTGCATGCATGCAGTAATTGTACATTATACTTGGGAGACAGTGAGGTGAATGGTCATACGTAATGTGGACTGGCAATAATATGTGCTCTGTCAAAGTGATTGCCAGCTTGAAGATACAATGGTCATTTTGCATTGATTTTTAAAAAGTGATGATACTTCTCCCTCCTTCCAAAATTGAGAACTGTAAATAGTAAGCCTGGAGTTGTGGTGCAACTTGTTTAAATAGAGGTAGTGCTTCTACCTGAGATCGAGCAGGTTTCACTTTTGAAGCAATTCTTATTAACTCTCCTATTAACTCTTTAAATGAACAGTATACAGAGAAAACTTGAAGCTTTGCTCTTTTGCAGTGAATGTTGATTAACTGGACATTGAGGACTGTCTTGAATGTGCACTTGAAATGTGCTGTAAGACAAATATTGTCTGCAAGTGTGCAGTAGTAGCTACTACACAACTGGTGTGCGTGGTGTTGTGTAGAATAAGAGAAACTCTTACTTTACAACTCTTGTAATTCTTACAATAAACAAATACCTATCAGTCCCTCTCACTGAGGTCGCAGGAAGCGTAGGCTGTCAATCTGACAACAACATTTTTCAAAGCTTCACTTCTTCGAGGTACTTTCACTGCCAGTAGTGATTGTCTTGGATTGCCCTGGAAGCAGCAGTAACAAACTTGATTGTTTGTTATGCATAAAGTCTGAGCTACTGCTGGTTGAGGGTTTAAGGTTCTGCATTGTGTCCTATTGACTTCAGAGTAATTTGGAGCCAGTGAGCTGACTTCGGTAAAATGACAGTATTTGAGATGTTACCTTCTGGTACTGATTCTTTATTCCCACCTTCACGCTCTGATTGCTTGACTGGAAGATGCAGTATTTCTTTAAGATTATATATGCTATGAGGTTCAGCAGGCAACTTCTTGTTCCTAGCATTTGAATTTGTATAGCACCTAAAAATCTCACTGTATGAACAGTGGTGGTGTTCATATACTGATTTTTGGCATGGTTCTTAAAGTGTCTTTCAGTCATCACTCTTGACTTCTATCAGACTTGTGCCCTCCCTGCTGTAGCAGTAGCACTTGCTTTGTGCCACCCTTGACATCTTCCTTATGAATCAGTTGGGAAGGAGCCGTTGCTCAAGAGACATGTCCTTCTAGCTCTGGGAACACTGAAACTGCATTTATCTTCAGATAGAAAGACCAGAGCAGAATTTCAAACCCTCTTTGAGGGTTGGTAGGGTGTTGGTAGCACAATTCTGAAATCATAGTATATTTCAATAGAATAAGGAAAGTATCCCAAAGGAGATGATACCTATTAATTTCTAAAGGATGAAGCTAAATAAAAGGCTGCTGAAGGAAGTACACTGCCAAACCTGCTTAAGTAGTATTAACTGAAGAGTAAAATAGGGTAAATTACTTTCTGATTATCCATTACAGTAATTGTTAAGTTAAAAGACTTACGAGGGAGTGTTTGCTGCAGCAGTCCATAGATGAAAGACTAAATGAGGCATTCTGTCTGCAGCTGGGCAAAAGCAGGATGCTCTGCCCTGGGGACCTGTGTTGGAGCAAGGCCAAGGTCAGCTATGCTGTTGAACTTTTCTAGAGAAGAAAGAAGAAAACACTGGTCAATAGAGCTCGGTTTCTCATTGTTTGTAGTAGTGACTTGCATTTAGTAAATAATTGAGAAGAATTGTTGAACAGTGAATTCCTGGCTGGTAGGGAGTAATCTTATAGGAACTTTCCTCCTTAAAATCATTGGTTAGCTTCCAAATTTCTCCTCCCTGCCCCCTCTCATTTTAGGACTGGTTTTGGATTTGTACCTTATTCAGAAGATCAACTTAATGATGGGGGGAAACAAGCACAGTGATTGAAAGCTACATATAGTTTGTGCAACTAATTCATAAATAAGTATTCATAAGTTGGACTGTTTTTAAGCACCTGTACAGATGTTTCCTTCTAGTGGTGCGGTAGAGGTTTTTCATACAGGTGGCCTGGGTTGAGTTCAGTGAACTAAGTTAGCACAGCATGTTGTGGAGTGACCATTTAAGTGTGGTGGAAAAGCAGGTTCTGCAATGGGATGGAAATACTTGACTGGGGATCAGATTTCCAGGTGCTCTTGCTGTGCTACTCCTGATTTGAGATAGCTACCATGGACCTGACTCTGCACAGTGATGCCTTGTCAGTGCAGTGCCTCCAGTGGAGGAATGTGTGTGTGCCAGTAGCAAGTAGAGTTTTATATATATTTTTGATTGGCCTTTAAAACATAGATTCTGGGGAGAATCTGTTTTCCACCCTGTCCATTTCTTAAAGAGTGTCTTAGCTGACAGTGTGAGGAGTTCTAAACAGGTCAGTTAAGTACTCTGAGGCAGATATGGTATGTCAGCAACTGTTCTAATACTCACTTGTGATTGATGCCTCAGCTGTGAAGTCAAACAGCATCTTAACTGAAAAAATGGGTAAGAACCAAAGAGTTAGTCCTCTATACCACTGTAATTCCCACAGTCAGACTCTCATGCTTTTAGAAATCTTGTGGCATTCCTGATTGGACAGGATTCAGGAACTTGTAAGTGGCTTCTATCACTGTTCTGATTATTTTCGATGTGTTTATGGCTAGCAATGATGTAAAATAAAAGATTTAATATTGGGGGGTGAGACACTCAAGTAGCGTGAAAGAGGAGAGACTCTTACTGGAGTGTTCTGTGATTAAATGAGATGTGTAATGTGCTTGTAGGGTTAAGTTACCCACAGATGCAAAAAAAAGGTGTGCATGTTTCAACCTTGTAGTAACACTGTGTGCCTCTGCAGAGGAGGTGGCCAAGCTGGAAAAGCACCTGATGCTTCTCCGCCAGGAGTATGTAAAGCTGCAGAAGAAACTAGTTGATACAGAAAGGAGATGCAATCTTCTGGCTGCTGAGGCTAACCAAGACAATGCCAGTGACACCTTCATCAGTCGACTTCTTGCCATTGTAGCTGAACTCTATCAGCAGGAGCAGTACAGGTAAGAAATCCCCCTTTGGGCGAAGGGCTATTACAGGAACCTTTGACTTTGCAGTAGGTACTAGTCTTAAACAAGGAAAATTCTTTCTCTACTGCCTGGTATGAATAGGGTCCACAGCTGCAGTTGGAAGAGAATGCTAAGGTCAGGTAGCATACTGAATCCAGTTTTTGAATCAAGAGCTCTAAGTAGAAGTTTATCTCTGAGGCTGACATTTAAGACAAGTTTAAAGAAAACTGACCATTTTCACTGTCAACAGCAAAGCTCCCTTTGAACAGAAGTAATTTTAAACTGATCTATATGTAGCTGATGGATTAATTGGATGATTATCTACTACAGACTGGAAAGATCTCCTTTCTTGAAAGGATATGTCCTTGAGACCAGTTCTGTATTCCTGTTGTATGTGTAAAGAAGCCTGATTAAATTGGCTTGTCTGATTGTATGATGTAACAGGTCTTAGACAGTGATCTGTGTGACTTAGTGGTATAAACGATATTGTATCTTTGAATCTCAACACAAAATTAGGTTTAATGGTTTCTTTTCCACAGGCACATTAAGGATCACCTTCAATACTGTAGATGCCTTCACTGATTTAGTTCTGAGATTACAATGACACTTATCAATTTCTTTGCTATTACTGAAAGCAACATAGTGTCAATATAGTAAAGGAGTTCAGTCAGGTAAGGGGAGAGTACATAGTTTTGTTTAAAATTTCCTTCCCCTAACACCTCTTCATGAGCCTCCCTGAGAAAAGGCTCTGTGCCTGGCGAGAACTTATTATAGCATGCTGGGTAAAAGATTTGTTAGGTAGCATATGTCAGATGAGTTGGATCACTTCATTTCTGTTCAGCATATGAGTTTTAAAGGCGTAGAATAGAATAGTGGTCTAAAAGGACGTACAAGTCATAAAATGAGAAAGGTAAGTTTAAGTGCAAGTTTAACATCTCTGTATTTTGTACTGTAGTTTATAGCAGTGCTTTGATTTAGAAAATGGTCTGGAAAGTACTCCTACACAGTCAGAACATTTGCAAGCTATGGGACTTTAAAATAAACAGGGTAGGTACTTTCTAACTACAAAGGATAACCTGGTGTTAAAGGGGTCAGGATGAAATCAGTGTTCTTGACAGCTGGTCTCCTGGGAACTGGGGATTCTTGGAGTCTGCCTTAGACTACTGTCAAACATTGTTTGTTCTGTTGCTGGTCTTGCCTGAAACCATTGGTGCTTAGCTGACAGTATTAGTATGGACACTGCAACATAAATATTTAACCTCAAGATTGTTGGATTTCCCTGTTTTCTACAATAATTCCCTTGCAGTTTATTCCAAAAAGGTTAACCTCCCCACACCCCCAATGCTTTAAATACTAATGACTCATTGCATTTTTCCCTAGAAAAATAAGAATTGTTGTTTGGCAACACGTTCTACTTAACCATTGAAACGTGTTTTGATGTCTCAAACAACTTGAACCTAAATGTGGATACCAGGACATAGATACTATGGAGATGCTGAATCTGTATGTATCTAAGCACAGGGGAAGTCTGTGTTATACATGTATATGCTTTATTCCTCTTATCAGTGATCTGAAGATAAAGGTTGGGGACAAGCACATCAGTGCTCACAAATTTGTCTTGGCGGCACGCAGTGATACTTGGAGTCTTGCCAACCTTGCCTCAACAGAGGAGCTGGATCTGTCAGGTCAGTCATTGCTTATAATATGATGCTTTGATTGTTTTTAGGATGACTGAAAGGGCCTGTTGGGGAAAGGTTACTTATGTACCTTTCAGACTGCTACTGTCCACAAAAAGTGGTGCTTAATCCATTAATTATGGAGCTCTGTCTCTGAAACATGGTAGTACGCTTGTGAACTTGGTGCTAGTGCTAGTTAAATCAATAACCTACCTTCTTTCTCTTTAATGAACAGGGGTTGAGAATGGTGGCCTGTTTGTCTTTTCTAGAGTCAACTAAACATAATGAAAAACAAATCTATATGGAGGAGCTTGACTTCTTCCTTTCTAAGGACAGGGCTTTTTGAGGTAGTGTGCATAATTTCTCTGAAGTGTGTCATGGAAATACCTTGCTTCTTGTTAACATAGTGTGTGTGAAATGAATACAAATACTGATGTGTTATTAAAAAGCTATTTGCTTTGGCACTTTGATACCTTTGCAAAATAGGCGAGGAAGAGAAGTTTTCTGAAAGTCTTCTACAAGATGGTGTTTTGTCCTGCTGTAGCTGTTTCTCTGGCATGTACTTACACTGGGCAGTGTTTCTGCAGATCGAACCTCTTGACAGGCTTTTCTTCTGTACTTAACAGAATAAGAGTCTTATACAATTAATTTGTGAGCAATAAAAACAGGCATGAAGTTAAGCAGGTTTGCTGGCTGGCATGTTGAATATTAAGCATTGGCTTCACTTTCTGCACTTAATCTTATTATGAATCCTATGTGCAGGCAGACGGGAAAGAAGCAAGTCACAGCAAGCTAGTTTTATGAGACAGCATAGGCTTTCTTGCAAAAGGATTTATGGATCTTTCTACAGCCACAAAAAACAGATGCCAAGGAGTTTTTAAATTGAGTGCTGTGCTAACAGAAGATTATTACTGAAAAGCTCTTATGTTAATTGTACTTTCATTGCAAGTGGCAGTCCATAGCATTTCTAGCTCCACATTGAAGCTAATCTGAGAATCTCAAATGTAACTGCGGTCTTGCATGTTTAGCAATGCAAGCACTTCCTATTACAGAATGATGCTTAAAATACGTGCTAGTAAATGATACTTTCCACTGTGTAAAATTGAATTCTTTATAAAATTTGATAAATGGCAAAAGGATTAATTAAGTTATGGAATAGTTGTAGCAAGCAACAAGCTGTTCCCTAAAAACTGTTAGGGTTTTCTTAAGAGGTTCTTCTGAATAACTTGCAAGCTAAGATTGCCTGAATCCTAACTTCAAAATATAGGCAGCATTTAAAATTGAGTGTTTTTAGAGTTCATGTAATCTGCAGAATTTTCTACTCTTTAAGAAGGGTAGAAGGAGATGAACACAGGCTCTCTTGTCAGGAGGGAGAAAATGAACTCTTACCTCTGCCAAGGCAGAGCTGATATTACAGCTCAAGTAGGCTTTCTGATTACTTCAAGCTTGGCGAAAGATACTTGTCTTACTAAAACCTTCTGTTTCTTAGGAGGCAGTCTACATGCTATGCCAAGTAGTTGTCTGGTATTCTGCAAATAATCTGGGGCAACCCTCCATGTGAAGGAGATGTTTTAGGATGGGTGTTTCAGTGTCTTAAATGTGTATGTTTTCATTTTAAAACCAAACAAAATGGCTTCAGGGACTAATGTTATTTTTCTAAATGAATGGTATTTTTTGTTGTAATTGGTTTGATAGTACACTATGGAGTAATTCTCGTCTACATCCCTGTAAGCAGGTTTGTCACTATACTTCAGACTAGGTGACAAAGGTCCCTGGTCATTGGGCTTCTGTATCTTGTGTCCTGTGGTGTAGGTTTCTATCTTTCTTGCTGTGTAAAAGCATAAGGCTTTTGATTAGTGTTGTAAACACTTGAAATCTAACCAGCTGCTTAGACTCTTTTGCACCTTTCCTAGAAATGGTTCACAGCAGTTTTAACTACTTTGTAGTCATTACCAAGGTGTAAGTACCTTTATTGGAATGCAACAGTTCATAACATATGGCTCTGATATCAAAGAAGCAGGATTCTTAAATCAAAAAGGGAATTTGTGCTTGTCAAATGTAGATGTGGGTTTAGCCATATGTGAGGTACCAAAGACTTTAAAGGGGCATCGCTGGCCTCTAAATATGCAATATCTGTGTAGCAAGTAGGAGATGTTAGAGGGGTCCCTGCATTCTGTACAGTGTTCCAATGGAAAAAAGATTTTCTTGCTTGGTGCCAGCATTGTTACTAGCTTCAACTTCTGAGCAGTTTTGCCTCTGTTTTGACACTTTGATTGAATTAAAGCCATACAGTTTCAACGAGGCTATCTTTTTTCCATGGTAGCTGTGACTTTAACAGTCAGAGGAATAGTAGCTACTTGAACAGGTGATTGTTGTTTGGGTATTTTATTAATCCCTGTTGCTCCCTGTACCAGATGCTGACCCAGAGGTAACCATGGCAATGCTGCGGTGGATCTACACAGATGAACTTGAGCTAAGAGAAGATGATATCTTCTTGACAGAGCTCATGAAACTAGCTAATAAATTTCAGCTCCAGCTACTTAGGGAAAGGTGAGTCTTGGTAAATACAGTGGATCTTCTTGAACTGTTCAACCTTGTTTGAATAGAAATAAGGTGACAGCTGCTGGCAATTGGATAAAATTTTGCCTTTTCAAGGTCTTGAGCTTTTAATAATACAGTATGACATTCAGTTTATCACAGGAAATGGAGCCTTGTACTACAGTTAAACTATAGCAGTTTTTCTTATAGCTTTTATGTTTGCTTTCCAGTTCTTCTCCCAGTCAAACTAATAACCCTAATTTGGCATTAAGATGAAGTAGAGATCAGTATATTAGTAACAAGCTCTGGAGAGTTGCAGGAAAGGAATTGTTAGAGAATGCTAGGAAGAGTCAATAGCAAGGAGTCTGCAATATTAAAATACCACAGGTGAAATTTATTTTAACTTAAATACCTGTTCTGTGTATCTTGGCAGCTTTTCTTCATAAAGAAGGTTAAAATAACAGTACAATATTTTGCTATTTTGAGGAGATTATGATTACACCATTCTAGTAGGGGCTAGGTTGTTATCTTGAATGTTTAGAATGCTCTAAATAACCATTTAGAGTTAGTGAGAAGCCCGAATGTACAACTTCGTTTTGCGCAACTTTGAAGCCTTGAATTTAGTCGAAGTACCCTTTGATATAATCTTTTGCCCAAGGAGTGTCTGGGGCTGTAGCAGTACATGGCACTTGTAATCTATAATTTAAGTGTGACTCAACATGAAGCAAACTAAATTGCTCTCAATTCTTCAGACTAAAGAAGCTGACATCTCTAAGGTCAGTGCTAGAATTGCCTTCAAGCTTTGTACCAGCCTAAAACTGTCTGCATGTTGTTGTACTAGCTAAACATTCCTCAGCTGTTGTCTGGTCATGGTAGTCTAGTGACAAGTCCATGTACGTATGCTACTAGTAATTATTAGATGTCTTGCTAGGTATCTGCACCTGGTGACAAGTATTTCATTTTTGGGTCTTAATATCTGCTTGGAAATCACTGGTATGTTTATCTTTATTTTGAGGTACTTGGATTTTCTTCCCATAAACTCAAACTAATAGCTTCACACCTATAAAGATTAGGTGGATCTGCTTATCCCTTCTCTTTATTAAACGAATAGCTATATCTGGCTTGCCTGTTTGTAGCTTTGGCACAAAAGCTGCTTGTGATCACTATAGTACTTCTAAAGAATAGACATCTTCCCTACTTCATAACAGTCAATGAACTCCAGTTTGTTCCTTTGGGAGAGCTAGGATGTCTGTCTCCACTTGCAGGATCCTGCAGTGTGTGTTGTTATGGGACCTTAGCTTAGATGGACTCTAATAGGAGTCTGCTCTTAAGGAAGCTGTGTTACAGGGCTTCTGATTGAAGTATGTTTATGCTGCTTAGCCTTATAGTAAGACCATTTTCTACTGGCATCTAGGAAAAGGAGTATTTAGGACCCTGTTACACCATGGGAGAGTGATTACAGTAAAGCTGTTTCCTGATTACTGAACACTGGCTTTCCTATTTTGACAGATGTGAAAAAGGAGTTATGTCACTAGTTAATGTCAGGAACTGCATTCGTTTCTATCAGACTGCTGAGGAGCTGAATGCTAGCACTCTTCTGAACTATTGTGCTGAGATAATTGCTAGTCACTGGGTAAGTACTGTCAGAAGCAAGAGGAAAAATGTTTGCAGAGTATAGGAACTTAATCAGTAAAATTTTGCTTAACTTGCTATACTATCTAACCTCAGGAGTATCTCTTGGTATGATAGCATTCAAGCATTCCAGTTGGGATGGGTATTACATGGGCTCCTGATAACTTTCAGTGACTCAGGTGACCTATTATGCTGACCCTTATATGTTTGCAGAGAGCAGCAGTTTTATCAAAAAGCTGTCAAATCTGCCTGCCCTGCTGCCTGGTGTGAGTGAAGGGGCTGCTTCTGAGGCAGGAGTGACACTTCCCTTCCCGTCTGTCTCAGTTACCTTTATTTTATAATATGTGCTTTTGACACTGTGTGTTATTTGGTATTCTCTACAATACTAATTCATAATTATATATTTGAAACAAAGCATTTTAAATGGCTTCTTATCTAAGATTTTGTTTGTTGTCTTTAGAGGTTATGTCCGTTGTCTATCTTGGTGTGAATGTCTTGACTGGGGGAAGCAGCTTATAGCCTGAGGAGTTGTTCTGTTCATTGGAAATACTTCACTGTAAAAAGCGTCTTACTTTCCTAAACATGAGTCAAACCAAAGGGGCAGTATTCTAATAAGCAAGAGGATTGTTTATTAAATCTGGACTTGGGACTGTTTAGAAGTTCACCCATAGTTGGTCTCTGTCTATACACATCACAAATCCCAGGCCTGCTTTTACTTCTAAAAATAATCCACAGAAGCCAGGGAAGAGTTTATTTTCTGTAATGGAGGGAGTGGCAAGGAGTTTTGCAACTGACTTGGGAGTTTCACTGGCTCTGATCTGTTATTTTGAGGAAAGTTTGAGTAACTTAGTAGTGGATTAGCCTTGAAAATAAGACTTGTCAACAGCAGACTAGTGTGTGGGGTTTAGGTTATTCTAAATCGAAAATGCATCATCCAGATGTGGATGTGTCATTGTTTGGCTAATGCAAAAGCAGGGGGAAGTGCTTTGACATGACATAAAAAAAAATATTCTTGTATCTGAACCTGCAGGCCAGCCATTTTAACTCTTTCATGCTTCTGCCTCGTAACTTTTGACACTGTATTCTACCTGGAAATGAGGCTGTTTCTGTTTAGTCAAATGAGCACTAGCTCAAATCTAAGGTCTTCCTACTTCTAAGTTTCTGTTTACTTTTATTCAGAGTTTTTTCAAAGTTCTGTGGAGTTGTCAGTCTTCAATAGTTATAGGCCTTTTTGTCAGTGTTGTGGTTTAACCCAAGCCAGCAACTCAGTCCCATACAGCTGCTCACTCCCTCCTCCAGGTGGGATTGGGGAGGGAATTGGAAAGGTAGAAGTGATAAAACTTGTGGGTTGAGACAGTTTAATAGGTAAAGCAAAAGCCACATGTGCAAACAAGGAATTAATTCACTGCTTCCTATCGGCAGGCAGGTGTTCAGCCATCTTCAGGAAAGCAGGGCTCCATCATGTGGAATGGTGACTTGGGAAGACAAAATGCCATCAGTCTGAATGTCCCCCCCGTCCTCCTTCTTCCCCCAGCTTTATAGGCTGAGCATGATGCCATATGGTCTGGAATATCCCTTTGGTCAGCTGGGGTCAGCTGTCCCAGCTGTGTCCCCTCCCAAATTCTTGTCCCCCCGTCGTGTCGTCCCCCCCCCCCGCCCCCAGCCTCCTTGCTGGTGGGGTGGGGTGAGGAGCAGAAGAGGCCTTGATGCTGTGTAAGCACTGCTCACTGCTCAGCAGTATCTACAACATCCCCGTGTTATCAGCACTGCTTCCAGCACAAATCCAAAATGTAGTCCCATACCAGCTACTGTGAAGAAAATTAACTCTATCCTGGCCAAAACCAGCACAGTCAGAAAATGCTAATCTGTCATTTAAGTTCAGATAGAGAATTAGAGACTAGATGTTAATCTGCTATAATGTCTGGTAAAATGCTAGTTTTCCATGTCTGTAGACGAAAGGTAAGAAAAATTTAACTGGAAACTAAAGTGTAACTCACTTCTTGAGTGTTTCTTCCTAGTCTTTAAAGGCTATCTTTGATTGTTCCTGCTTGTTATGATGTTATCAGAATGGAGCTTTTAACTGAACTTGTTTTGTGAATGTCATAATTACATTGTGCAACGCCTTGTTGATAAATAAAACGGGATTGCTTACCCTTTTCTCTTTTATTGCTTCTAGGATGACTTGCGTAAAGAAGACTTCAGTAGCATGAGTGCTCAGTTATTGTATAAAATGTTCAAGTCAAAGACAGATTATCCTTTGCATAAGGCTATTAAAGTTGAGAGAGAAGATGTAGTCTTTTTGTATCTTATTGAGATGGATTCACAGGTATAATGAGACTTACTTGACCTATTTTCTAGAATTTGGTGTTTCAAATAACTAGTTTCTAACTACCAGTCTTGATTTTTTTTTTTTGTCACTAATTCTTATTTGCATGTTTATCACTGCCATAGCTACCTCTATGTATGTAATGGAGGTCTGGTGGTAACAACTCCATAAAGACATAATTCAGAAATGATTCATAACATTTCTAAAACACCTTGCGTGCAAAAGATCATGTCTAATAAAATCCAGTACCTGATAATGCTATATACATCTAAAGCTGAGTTGTGTCATAGTCAACTTGGCTGCTTCATGGCAGTTCAGTAAGCATCATTTCTTTGAACAAATGCTTTTCCTCTTTTACTGCATGTTTGAAGTAACAGGTGTTCTGTTTGGATGAACACTCTAAACAACTAGCAAATAAGTTGTCCCCCTTGTTGGGGGATGGAAGAATTATTCAAGTATTAATTATCAAGAATTATTGAATTAGTCCTTTAAGATGCCTCAAATCCTAATTGGAAGCTGGGACTGTAGCAGTATTTAGCACACTTAGGTGCTAATCCAATTGGGATTTGAAGTATCTTAAAGGAATAATTGAATAATTCTTCCTAGTTCTATGTTGAATATGCCTAAATAGGCAGCATCCTTTAAGAGTGTAGTAGTCTTGCTTCTTGTGAGTTAAACAAGGCTTGCAAACAGAACTCCTGTTTTCTTATTGAACAGTTCTGAGTAGACTCGCATGTGGTGATGCTAGTCTTCTAATTGTTTTACTGTGTAAAATGCACTTACCTAAATGCAGCACTAGTATTTTGCATTAGAGCTGAAGGCCTAGCATTATGGTAGTTGGAATGGGCTGTTAAAATATTATGTTGGGCTGGTGAACCTACCTCTAATGTCAATTGACTGAATTTGTGTTGTAGCTTCCTGGGAAGCTCAATGAATTGGATCACAATGGAGATCTTGCTTTGGATCTAGCCCTTGCCCAAAGATTGGAGAGTATTGCAACTACACTGGTCAACTACAAGGCTGACATAGATAGAGCAGACAAGAGAGGCTGGAGTCTATTACATAAAGCCATCCAAAGAGGTAAGTAAGCAGGATATGAAGCCTTGTTAACTTGCAGTTGTTCCCAGTGTGGAATATATGTTCCAAAGTCTGTTCCTGTGTCACTCTGTAGTTGACACTTCAGTTAGAAAATTGTAGTCAAGGATGAACTTTATCCTATTTCTTTCTTTCTTTAAACTTAAAAACAAACTCTTATTTGGGATCTGAAAGCTAGCCTGCTGGCTGGTGAATGAAACTTACACTACATGACATCAGAAGCAATCTAGTAGAGTAATGTCTGCTAAAGGAAGAAATGTAGGGAGATACTGAGAATATTCTAATTTGACAACACAATGTTTTTCTGACAAATAGTTGAATCAAACATGACAGCCTAATCACAAATTAAGATGAAGCCTTTTTTCTAGACCTGTGTTGAATGCAACATATGCTTCTTTGTGATTATGGTTAACAGCAAGGGTCCTTGCTACTGGACGGCAGTTTTAGGGGAGGGGAAAACTGACTGGGAGAAGATGAGGTGCAGGTGGAGGTGCTTCTGTGCCAGTGTGAATATCTTCAAAGCTCCAGTGGATAGTAGCATAGTTATCAGAGTGAAGTCTGAGTACAACTACATGATTATCTTGAGCTGTTCTCCACCTTAGAGTGGAAAATGCATCTTATGAGAACTGGAGCACAGTAGGACCTGGTTGCCATGGCCACAGTGTTCTGAAGGCTTTGGAGCAGCATCATCTTGGCTGATGGCCAAAGTCTGGTAAAAATCTGTAGTGAATGCCTTGTGCTACTAGTTGCCTGCAGTGATATCTCTGGCAGCTCTTTCTGTTCCAGAAACCCAAGCACAACAGGAATTGTACCTATGACTGGACCTCATGGGTATTGTAGTGCTACAAATTAAAAGCATGAGTTTATTTTTAACAGCAAGCTCTTCTGGACTCTTAGAAGTAGTTTAAGTTTTGTAAACTCAGCATACAGCTCCCAACTTCTTCCTTTAATCTCCTACGTATCTAAACAGGGTAATGCTGGTGTCTGATCCTGTGAATGAAACTTCAGCAGCAGGAATAGGAGGCCTTCTAGGCATAGGTCAGTGTTATGATGGCTGCAGCCCTATAAAGCACTAGAAAGATTGCAGCAGGCTGCTCTTCATACTTAATACTAGCATTTGTCCTCTAGTTCTAATGTCTGCTTCCAGTCTAAGCTAGAGCTCTGAGAATGAATGCTTGCTTTTCAGTAACCAAAGCTTCAGTGAATTAATTACTGTTAACAATCACATGTTCTGGAAATGGAGCTAAAGCAAATTGTCTGAACTTGCCACATGATTCTTACTTCCTATGATCACTGGCGAGTGGGGGAATGTTAGATATGGAAATCAGAAAGTGGGATTTTAGTTTTTACTGGCAGAGATGATACAGCAATCTGTATTGCCTAAACAGCTGAACAGTCATCTTTGTTCTCCAGTCTTGCATTCAGGACAAGCAGCTTGTGAATATATCTATTCAAAGTAGTCTCTGGAGTAAGGGAGACTTGTATTATCCTGAAGTCATTCTCTGCATCTTGGTGTTTCAAGTCCAAGGTTTCATGTACTGAAGTGGGCTTAAGTTCTGACTTCTGAGAAGCTCTCAACAGGGAGTTCTTAGGAATGCTGTACATGGTGGGTCCTAACTGTTGAAGCCCTTACCCTATATATAATGGAGCCCAAACTTTCAAGAGCAAAGTCTGTGTTATTGCTTGTTTATGTAGCAAGACTGAACAGATGATGACTAACTTCAACTACACACTTTTGACTGATGCCCTGGAATAGTACCTTTTGTTCAAAAATTAGTTATATATTTAGTATCATGATTTGTCCGATTGTGCATTAAAGCAGCAATGGATTTATCTTGATAGAGGAACTAGCAAACTCAGTATCACCATAACAAGTAAACTAGTGTGTGAACTTGAGTGACATGTAACCTCTGGGCAAAACACTTTTTCCAAGGGGTTGTTATGAAATCTTTTAATCCTGACTTTGCAGTGGAGTGTACTTGAAGTTACCTATTGCTAAGGCATTCTAAGAGCAGACACTTGGAGTGATTGTATGGTATGGAGGGAAATCATGTGTATCCATTTTCTGGACTTGTATAAAGTATATAGGGTATATAAAGTATCTATCCATAAATAACCTTGCTTTGTTTCACAAAAGGAGATAAATTTGCTGCAAACTTTCTCATAAAAAATGGTGCCCGTGTGAATGCTGCTACATTGGGAGACCAGGAGACTCCTCTGCACCTTGTGGCATCATACAGCCCCAAGAAGCATTTGCCAGATGTCATGGCAGAGATGGCACAGATAGCAGAGTCCCTCTTACAGGCAGGAGCCAATCCAAATATGCAAGACAACAAAGGAAGGTAAATACTGGGTCAAGTAAAGTCTGCTACCATTTTAACAGATAATGCAGTAGTGATTAGATGCAGCCTGCTAAGAACTTGCTCAGGTCTGACAGCAAAGCACAGGTGATCCTGGAAGCAGGAGAGGTGAATTCATTAATCCAGTTTGATACCTGTGGGTAGCACTCAAAGCAGAAAGCTGTGCAGGCTGAATGGTACCCTGTCATGACTAGTTAAACATAGCCCAGCTATAGAAAGCTGGGGTGAGTTGATTGTGTCAGAACACATGGCACATAATTAATTTGCCTTTATTGAATCACTGAACAGTAAAGCAAGCTAACTAAAATGACAAACAGTATTCCTGAAAGGTACTTCTCTTTGAAGCTGTCAGTGGAACTGAAATTATCTTAAAGAGCTAGTGTCTGCATTGTGTTTATCTGAAGTGTAGGGCCTGTAAACTGCTTTATGGGTTAGGTTGGGCAAACAAGTACATAAAATGACATAGAAGACTTAGAGTATATCAGCTAGTCAGTTCTGATAGGTCAAGCTCTTGTGCTTTTTCCCTAAAGGTTAGCTCTTATATTAGTGTAAACAGTTGCTTACTACTAAATTAACTGGAATCATGTCCACTAAAAGGGTAGATTGCTCTTTCAAGAGGTGCTTGTGCCTTTCTGAAAGCAGAGACAAGAGTTAACCCCATAAATCTGTAGGGTCATGTTGGTGACCATGGACAAAATCTTAAGTGTCTCCTTATTACTAATGTAACTCTACTTTGCTCCAATTACAGGACCCCATTACATGTCTCAATTGTGGTCAGGAATGAACCTGTATTCAGTCAGCTTCTCCAGTGCAAACAGTAAGTATCACTTAAATACACTGAGGGTACCTTGTACAGTGAAGATATGAAAACTGGTTTAACAACTCTTCAATGCCTTTTTGCTTTACAATAAGGCTAGCAATAGGCATGGGATGCAAAAGTGTAAAGGCTTTGCATAACTTAAGATGCCAGAAGCCAAGTAAGTTTTTGCCCTACTGTAAAGAGGAAGCAAATGGCACCTCTGTTTTTCAAAGAGGGCTAGGTGAAATGTAGCAATAACTTCATTTGTAGTGGAGCTAAAAGGAGTAATAAGACTCTTAAAATGTCTGAATATGTTCTTGAGTTCAACTTGGGTTCTGCTTAAAGCTAATACAGGTGATTTCTTAGGGTGATGAAGCAGAATACTTCATTTAACTTGGTTTCTTTGTAGTTGAATTTGCATTTCTTGTACACAGTTTACTCAAATACAAGAGGATTTGCCTCTGTTACATGTAGTGGGAGCCCAAATCTACAAGGGCCACACTTCTCCTAGGAGCAATGAGCTTAAATCTAGTAGTCACTAAAAGGTGTCTTGCTTGTTTCAGAGTATTCACAAATTCTCTGAAGTAACTAGAGCTACAGTAGGTATCTTGGCAAGTGAAAGTTGTCAGTGAGGTATTAGATAAACTAGTACAGCTGTTCAGACACTTGAAGCTAAAGCTGCATTGGGGAACCACTTTTTAAGGTATAAATTGGGGAACATTAACTCTTATTTTTAGACTAGACTTGGAGCTGAAGGATCATGAAGGAAGCACAGCTCTGTGGCTTGCAGTTCAGTATATCACTGTATCGTCTGATCAGTCTGTAAACCCTTTTGAGGATGCCCCTGTTGTAAATGGAACCTCATTTGATGAGAACAGTTTTGCAGCAAGGTTGATCCAACGAGGCAGCAATACAGATGCTCCAGACACAGTAACAGGTAAAACAGAAGTTTGTATTTCTGTGTAGGTGGAAGGCTTGTAAGTTAATTGCTTAATGTTAACTGCACTCTGAGGACCTGAATGAGGTTTCAACCGCATTTGCTGTGTAATGAATGGTAGGTGGTAGTAGCTTTAACCAGAGCTGGAACACTGACAGCCCCAAGCTGAGCTTGACTTTCAGGAAGTGACAGAAAATCTGGACTCCTTGCCAGGTCCTAGTATCCTCTTTACAGTTTCAAAATGTGTAATTGCTAAATGGTAGTGCACATCACAGACCAGCATTGCAAGGGGACTACTAGTCGGTAGGATTTTCTTTGTTGGCTTTGAACTTTAATGTTGCAAGGTAGTGTGGAAGGTGCTAGCACACTTGTTAGTATCAAAGTGTGGTTGGAATAGCACTTTAACAGCGTTCATGGTTTTTCTTTAGGAAACTGCTTGCTTCAGAGGGCAGCTGGTGCAGGAAATGAGGCAGCTTCTCTCTTCCTAGCAACTCATGGAGCAAAAGTCAACCACCAAAATAAATGGGTAAAAGCAGAAACTTATAGACTGTAGTCTGAAAGTTTCCTTATTTCTATTCAGAAATAAGATAGCAGAGATCCATCATTGTTAACCATAGCTTAAAGCAAGTTGGAACACCTGCTGAGCCTTTTGCATGTTTTCAGATATTTACTAGTGATCAGACACAATTGCGTTCTCGTGGCACTGTTCTTGCAGCATCACCAGTTGTTAATATGCTTTTAACACTTTCCTCAGTGCCTGTTCTAATAAAGTTCTTAAGATAGGCTAACTCTGGTAGTTTGAAAGTCCTAAGGACCTCCAGTTACTAGGAGTTAAGCTCTTCATGTCAATTCTTGTGGGCATAGTAGTTTAAAAGCTACTTCTCTTCATGTCCAAGCTGTTAACCTAGTACCCCCTTTATTAAAGGGAGAAACACCACTGCATACAGCCTGTAGGCATGGCCTAGCAAACCTGACAGCAGAACTTCTGCAACAAGGAGCCAATCCAAACATCCAGACAGCAGAAGCAGTGCTTGGTCAGAAGGATGCATCTTCTCCAACAGCAGAGAATGTTTATCTGCAAACTCCCCTTCACATGGCTATTGCTTACAATCACCCAGATGTGGTGTCAGTCATCCTGGAACAAAAAGGTAAGTTTTTTCTGGTTCAGACAGTATTGATGCTGTAGTGGATCAGTATGTCAAGATGGCATCTAAACTGTGTTTTGACAAACTACTAATAAAGCATGTCTTCCTGTAAACATTGTTTAAGTAGAGCAATTAATAAGACTGGCTAAACACAGTCTTAAATTCAAATTATCTGCTTAAGACTAGAAAATTAATTTGCCCATGAATCTTTCTAAATTTTCCACTATGGATGATGGACTTGAACACTTAGCCCCAGGCTGTATTCTAACTGTACAACTGAGATCCTTTTTCTCTCCCTGCCAAAGCATTTGGTTCAGGTAAATGCTGGAATCAAATATGGATAAAGGCATCTTTCTGTGGTTAGACTTCTGCCTTCCCCAGCTCTCAGTAAGACTGTTTTGTATGGAGTAATGCTAGTATTATAGTTGAGTTGAAACTTTGGTACTGAAATACTAGGAGGTAACGGTTTATTAAATGCTCCTAGTTCAGCTTCTTTCTAGCAGCAGGAAGGGAGTTTGACAGCTGAAGCAAGGCCTATTTTGTCTCCTACTATAAGTGGGATTTAGAAGGGAGTAGGTGAATTGGGGAGAATATCCTCCATCCCAGGGAGCTGAGAAGGAAGTGTGCTGCCACCATCTTGCAGTACAGCCTCCACTCCTCATTCTCAGAGTTTTGTATATGCCACTCTGTTTGGAGATAAAGGGAGCAATTTAAGCCTCTTAGCTAGAAAGTTGAATGTTTTTTAGTATAAGTATTAAGATTAGGCAGTAGTGGCAATACTACCTGAATCCTAAGCAGTATCACATCTGGGAAACTGAAGGTATCTTGCTCAGATCTTTCAAACTGACTGCTAAAGGAACGGCCTACTTCAAAATGGGACATTGCTACTGCTGCAGCTTTCAATGTGCAACTGCAGCTCAAGTACAAGAGCACTCTAATTCCCTGTGGTTTCTTTGTAGCTAATGCTCTTCATGCTACCAACAATTTGCAAATTATTCCTGACTTTAGTCTAAAGGACTCGAGAGACCAGACTGTGCTGGGATTGGCTCTTTGGACAGGTATGTGCCTTCAAAACAAGATGAGAATTTTTGTATGGAAGCTATGATGTGGATAAGATTTCTTTTTTTTTTTTTAAAGACAAACCAGCAGATGTGTGTTCATGTCCTAGCTTGTGCTGCTAGTCAGAAGCTGTCAAGGAAAGCTTTAGCTAATTCTTCACTTTGTAAAACTGAATAGTCACATCTGACTCACTGATAGATTTCTAGCCCTACAGCTTACCTTCTTGACTAGCAGGTAGCATGGAGCCTCTTGCCCACAACTGTATTCGCAGTTCTGTGGAACTGTTCCACTGCGAACTCCCTAGTAGTTTTCATAGCAGATCACTGTATTGTCTGTTCATGGTTAACTCTGTTCTAGACACTGGTTAATACAGAATGCTGACCTTTACAAAGGGAAAATGAGCTACTTTAAGCAGCTGTTAAGGGGAATGGAACTTGAAATACTGATTCAGAAGATGCTTTCTTGTCTGAAATGTGGAGGGAAATGGTTTGGGGGGAAACTAGGTATTCCTGTTTGCAGCCAAGTGACATTTCAACAGTATCAGTACATCATCAAAAGAAAGAAGTGGCATGGTCACTACTGAATCAATTCCTACTGAGTTGGAAACAGTGACTGTATGGGGCATGGCTACTCATACTCTGGACTTGAGAGATGAGTCAGAACACTTGGTAATGTTTCTCTGTATGGCAGCGCTAGATGTCATCCATATGTAACAAACTTCTTTACTGTCTAGGCTTTTCACTTTCCTTTCCAATGAAAGGAAACTAAAATGTAGCTTTCTGTCTACCACTGCCCATACCTGCTTCTGAGATAAAGGAGGAGGAATTAAGCTAAACATCTAATACTGTAATATTCAAGGGAATATCTTAGGAATGTAATACCAAAGTTAATGTTTGTTGGACAAAAGTCTGAAGTGATATGAAGGATTAGGCTAGGTATGGTTAAGGAGGATTCTATTACATTTGGGTTGGCAGAACTAATGGGAAAGCTCTGCTGTATACCAGACCGTATCTTGTGTCTTCAAGCAAGACCAAAAGGACTCAGTAATCAATATTCAATAAGTCTGTAAAAGAATATTCAAGCTGGGTAGAGTCATGGGTTGGTTAGCTCATGTATGTAAATTTTAATAGGCTCTAGCATTGATTCCGTGCACCTCTTACTGCAATTATTGAAATTGAAGGCTTGAAGCTTTATTTATTAATCTTCAGTGTCTCTGTTTTATAGAACTGAAGGTAAAATACTAATGAGCTTTAACTCTTTAGGCATGCACACAATAGCAGCTCAGCTGCTTGGATCTGGGGCGTCCATCAATGACACAATGTCAGACGGACAGACTCTGCTACATATGGCAATACAGAGACAAGACAGTAAGAGTGCACTCTTTTTGCTGGAACATCAGGCAGATATAAATGTCAGGTAAGATCTTAACTGATACAACACTCAACGGGATATGTATTTAGGAGCAGGTAGTTATGACTGCCTTTATATAATGTCTTAAAATTGGTTTCAAATCATGATTTGTGCATAGTTATGTGTTTGGTGGGTTTTTTTATGGTACTAGTTATGGCTGAGGGATTACATATGTGAACTTGGACCTATATATAGTTCCACTGGTCAGTACCTCTACTTGAGGCTGCAGAGGGAGGTTCCACTTAATTCTAGGTAGAACAGAATCCTCTGTAACAGACTCTCAAGTCCAAGAAGCATGGTACTGAACTTCTGTAGTCTGATCTATTTGCTGGCTTGTGGGAGCTGCAAGTTTTCTACCATCTAAAATAATTGGATGCAGCTCCAGTAACAAGATTCTGATAGAACTTGCTTCCCGAGTTATCTCCTAGACAGGTTGATATTAGACTTAACAAAACATTTATCTGCTTACATGACTGACAGGCTTTCTTTGAAATTTGGCGAGCTCTACTGTAATGAATGTCATGGGTATGAACTACCTAATACTGCTGTTCTAACTTCAGTTTTTTAACAGTTGGTATTTCTGACTTGCTTGAAGTGTTGCCACAGTGCAGACAAGGCTGTTCGCTTCTGTGGCAGTAGGCTTGCACTGAAGGAACTCTGTTCAAATAATGGCTGCACTTAAGGAAGGGACAGTGTCTCTGAGCTAAGAACACTAACATGCTTTTCAAACTTAGAAATCAATTACTTGCTACTAAAGGGAGGGGTTAAAGGAAGGTAAATTACATAGCTGTGATGAAAAACTAACATGGTGCGTTTGCTTGGCTGTAGAGGTGTGGTCTGACCACAGCAAAAACAACACGCATGAAGATGTTTATTGGCGAAGCCAAGAATTTACTGTAATATGAGTCCAAACTTTATAGTGCAGGAGTAACATGCTTCAAAATCTACCCATTACAGAACACAGGATGGAGAGACTGCCTTACAGCTAGCTATAAAAAACCAGCTCCCTCTTGTGGTTGATGCTATTTGTACCAGAGGAGCAGACATGTCTGTGCCAGATGAGAAAGGAAATCCTCCTTTATGGCTTGCCTTAGAAAATAACCTGGAAGATATTGCATCAACTCTGGTAAGACTGTCAGTTGACTTAATTTAGTCTCATTTTTGTGCATCTTGCTAGCAGCAATGGGCTTATCAGCAAAACTAAACTCAATGCATGAAGAGAACAGAGTAGTCTTATACCACTGTCTAACTTCTAGAGGTTTTTCTTCACCAGAAGTTCCTTTTTCTTGGGAAATCTTTTATAAACACTGTAGTCTGCATAGCCAAATATCTTGCAGCCACTGTGATAAAAGTATAGAATATGCTATCTGGATTCCTGATCCTGGAAAGAGTAATGATGTACTAAAAACATCAGTCTCTAGCATACCAGACTTATGTAATGATCAGCATCTTGAATAAAACTGAACACTCATATGTGTGCTTTAGAGTATGTGCTGGGTTTTATTGCATCTTAAAGTTCCATCAAGGCCTTTAAAGGCTTATATTTACTTTCAAGACTATTTACTTTCAGGCATAGGTGATCCAGCAGGAGAATTCCTGGACGCAAGTAGACCTCCTTATGTCTCCTTCTTAAGGAAGTTACTTGAAGGCTTTGTCTCTGATGTCCAGTTATTGTCTGCTAGAGACAACTATTAAAAAGCTGTGCTGATGACCTGAAAAGTACATCTTGTAACTGTACTTGACCATTACTGCTGGTATTGGATAAGAATCTTTATGGAGTCAACACTGAAACTACTTACGTATAAACCTTGTAAATAGTTTGTAAAGTGGAGTGGAACAAGTCTTATTTAAGTGCCACATTGCTTGAGTAAGTAGTTCTGTAGTACAAGGATACAAATATTAGGAATGCAAATATTAGAAATACAGTTACTGAAAAAAACTATCTCTGTTTAGCTGAAGAACTACCTCTGTTTAGCTGAATGTATAGGAAAGCAAGTAAATGGGCCAGACCTTCAAAGGCAATGTCTGCTGATGCTACTTGACTCACTTTAGGTGCTTGTCATTGCTGAAAGTGATGTAACTGTTAGCCAAACTGGCTTAAGACCTGTCTATTCAGAGTATATGGGTGAATATCTGGATTGTTAGTAAACACTACCTAATAAAGTATTACAGAGTAGGCAGATAAAATAGTCATCCAGAAGACATTAAAGTAGCTTCCTGAAATTCAGTGACTGTCACAAGAATAGATAGAGCATCTCAAATTCTGCCTCTAAGGGATAATGTTTCAGAAGCATTAGTCAAGGGCTATATAAAGTAGTAGGAGCCTGCTGGAGACGAAAAAACTTCACTGCCTCATTGTGCTTCTCCTTCCAGGTTAGGCATGGCTGTGATTCAACCTGTTGGGGGTCAGGACCAAGTGGCTGCTTACAAACTCTTCTTCACAGAGCGATTGATGAAAACAGTGAACAAATAGCATGCTTTCTTATTCGCAGGTCAGACCCCTTTCTAAAATACAAACCTTCTAATGTGCATGTACATATTTTCCTAGCATAAATTAATTGAATGCTATTTTGAGCCAGTAACAGGTATGTGCTTCATTAGACTTTTGGTGGGTGGATGGCACTTATGGAATTCTGACTAATCTTAAAGACACATTGTGTTATCTATATTACTATCATGTTCTTGATGACAAGAGTCAAACTAAAACCAGGAATTTGTGCTTCTGTAGAATGTGTTAGCAGTTGTAAAATTTTTTCTGACCCTTGTTTGGAACAGTTTAAATCTGGATTAAACGTAATAAATGGACTGTATGGTATTTGTTTTAGTGGTTGTGATGTGAATAGTCCCAGAAAGCCAGGCCCAAATGGAGAAGGAGAAGAGGAAGCTCATGATGGACAGACACCCCTACACTTGGCAGCCTGCTGGGGACTAGAAGAGGTGATCCAGTGCCTTTTGGAGTTTGGTGCCAATGTCAATGCTCAGGTATGTAGAGAAATTCTGTACAGCTTCTTTGAAGCTGATTCTTTGCCTATAACACAGTGAAAACAAACTTTCCTTTCAGCTGTGTATTTTACTTCATAAAAAGAACATCCTTCTATTATGGCTGAGCCAATGCGATGACTGGCTGCAGTTCTACTTTCTTTCCTGTCCCTTTTTACGAGATCTAGTGCTTATCCACCCATATGATGACTTAACTCAGGAAGCTATACTGAAGGAAAATAATGATACAGAAAACTTCTTGCAGTGTTAGTTTTCTGATATAATGATTGAATTCAACTCTTCTGTCCCTAGTGTGAATTAATGGCAGGAGCAGGGCTGTATTCTGCTGTAATTGATCATTAGATCAGCTATAGTGTAAAGCTCCAGAATAATCTATTTTGTTAGCATGTTTGGGAAGTGTCTTCTGTTAGAGTAAACTGAGGTGATGTAAGTATGAATTACACTTCATTTTTTATTACACTGTAATCCTTAAACAGAAGCTTGACAAATAGCAACAAAAGGAATTAATGTATTACACTTCTAGGCCCTGATGCTATTGAAAATGACATCAAAATGAATGACACAACACATAGTCACAAAGCAGCCATGACTGTAAACTGCTGCTTGATACAGACAAATGATTGAACACCTTATTTGAATTTGCTAGACTTAAGTTTGAATGCTCATCTCTGCCCCCAAAATATCTGATTAAATGGGAAATGTTACTCTGAGCTACTTAAATGGCTGTATAGCACAGGATTGAGGTCAACCTATTTGGAGAAACAAATACCAATTTGTTTTACTTACACTGTGGATTTGAGCTCCCACTGCAACTGTTGGGTGTCCCAGCCAAAGGCAGCTGGGTATGTCACAACTAAACTAATAAGCTTCCTCAACCCTTCAGAATTAGGGAGGGATTTGTGTATTACTGAATCTTCATATAACCAACTTCTGCTTTCCTTCTAGGATGCAGAAGGAAGAACTCCAATCCATGTTGCCATTAGCAACCAACATAACGTTATCATTCAGCTTATGATTTCACATCCAGATATTAAGCTGAATGTACGTGACAGGCAAGGAATGACTCCCTTTGCATGTGCTATGACGTATAAAAATAACAAAGCGGCTGAAGCAATTCTGAAGAGGGAACCAGGAGCTGCTGAACAGGTAAGCTGGGAGTATTCAAAGCATGCTGGTCGTCCTAGTGCACTAGTTTGTGGTAACAGGTGTTCCACTAGCAATTTCTGCTTTGTCCTTTTATGGCTTTACATGGAATGACATTTGCCAGATGCCAGTTTTCTGTAGCAAGATTTATTGGGAAACTGTAGGTGTGTACACCTACTCGCTATGTGAGAGTAAGAACATCAAGGGTTAGTGTCTCATCAAACCTTATCTCATCTTGTCAGTACTAAATTGAGGAACAGGCTTATATGTATATAAGGAGAAAGTTCTAGCTCTACTCTTGTCTTGTGCTGGACTAGTACAAAAATAATCTATTTAGCTCTCCTAAAGCTATCCAAAACAGAAACCCTGACCTAAAGTAAGTGAATAATAGATGTTATGTTGCACTGCTGAACTATAAGACCTCCAACTGTATCTTCAGGCTTCTGGTGTGACACTTCAGGCAGCTGTTCAGGAGTTTCTTCCTACCCTATGTAAGTTTAATTACTAGTAAAGTATTTGAGTGCTTAGTGAGCTCTTGTAATATATCTAAAACATGGTTACAAATACAGCCAGTTCTAAATATGCTTTAACATTAGCTTTAAGGCAAAGATAAACAGCAACATGCACTTGGCATTAAGCCAAAAAAAAGAATACACTTTGCATCAGTGTGGCAGGATTGCATGTTGCTTCCTTCTCTGGTGTTAACTGCCAGATTGATTCAAGTTTGTCTCAATCAAGTTTATCATTGACTGCTGCTCTGTACTTAGGACAACAGCTGCTAACTTTTTGTCTGTCATAATACTCTCCAGTGTATGGTCAAGAAATGACAAGGTTATAAGGTACAAATAAAGTAGTCTAAAGCAGACTAGAGTGAGCAGTTGCAGCTGATAATTTCTCAGTTCAGTTATTTGATAGTCACATTTATCAAATAAGTCTCTAATGTCAAGCAGTGAAAGGAACAAGATTCTACAATTCACCTCAAGTAGAGGGAACAAGTATCTCTTAGTGAAAGTACATCCTACTACATAACAACTTGCTGTTCTACAGAAATAATGGACTTCATTTCACGTGCCCTTTCTGCCACAGGTTGATAATAAGGGTCGGAATTTCCTACATGTAGCTGTTCAGAACTCTGACATTGAGAGTGTGCTGTTCCTGATAAGCGTACAGGCTAATGTAAACTCCCGGGTCCAGGATGCCTCCAAACTAACACCTCTCCATCTGGCTGTACAAGCTGGCTCAGAGATCATTGTGCGTAATCTGGTATGTACTGGAGAGTAATTTTTCCTGTAATTAAAAATACACGTTCTGCTTTAATGCATATTGTCTCTAGGCTGGAGAAGTCAGCTGAAGGTGACACCGTTCTTTCTGAAACGGAACTCAGACTTGCATAAAGTTCCCTTAGCTTGTACTGCTAGCTGAGCTGCATCAGTAGCCTTTGCATGAGCATGTTTGATTTGCAGCAACTACTAGGTAGTGTGGCTCACTTTAAAGGAGGAACCTTATCTTGCAGTTTCTACAGATTTGAACATGAACACAAGTTGCAGCAGCTCAGTAATGATAGCATTTTATATATACTGGAGGCCTAGAAATATCTCTGTACAGTGGAGTTGTGTGCTTCATTCACAGAAATAAAACTGTGGGCTAATAGCCCTGAAAACATTTTTGAACATATTCCTTTTTGCATCTTGACAGCTGCTGGCAGGTGCCCAGGTGAATGAACTGACTAAGCATCGTCAGACTGCTCTTCACTTAGCAGCCCAGCAAGATTTGCCCACTATTTGCTCAGTCCTTCTGGAGAATGGAGTAGACTTTGCAGCTGTAGATGAAAATGGAAATAATGGTAAACTTCTACAGTTATACAAGTAGATGTAAACACTTCAGTAGGTCTGTTAATGGTATCTCCTAGTGGTAGAAATAGCCCACTGAATGGGCTCATTCTTCAAAGGTGAAAAAGAATGAAGTCCAAGAAATCAAAGCTGGTGGAAGGAGTTTTGGAGAGGGAAGGTGGGGGAAGTGGAAGGGGAGTGCTTAATTTTATCAAGCTGTAATTATTGCCGACATTAACCATTTCAGATTCTTGAAGCTTCTCTTTTACTTTTCAGCTCTTCATCTGGCAGTGATGCATGGCCGTCTAAACAATATCCGGGTCCTTCTCACGGAGTGCAATGTAGATGCAGAAGCGTTTAATATTAGGTAATTATTATAGTCTTAACAGACTAGAAGAACAACGATCTATTTTAAAATATGTGCTAGTATGACTAAATAAAAGCCACAGATTTGGCTTGGATTGTAGTATTTCTACACTAATTTTACAGTGAAGTGTGCAGAGCATGCTGTGACTAAATTGTGTGGAAATTATGTATACCAAGAAAAGGAAGTTAAAGTAGGCAGTTGTGTGTGATGTATTGAGGTACTTAGGTGTGGCATTGTTTAAGTCTGAACCAAACTTGAAAACAAGGAGAGTTGGATGAGTTACTGTAGTATCAAGCAGACTTCGATCAGCATAAAAACCTCTTTTCCCCAGAGGCCAGTCACCAATGCATATTTTGGGACAATATGGGAAAGATAACGCAGCAGCCATCTGTGACCTTTTCTTGGAGTGTATGCCAGAGTACCCTCTAGACAAACCTGATGCTGAAGGAAACACAGGTAGGTGAGATTCAATAGCTATTAAACTTTAAAGTCAATCAAATCATATTAAAGGTGTGTCACTTTTAAAGCTTGAATAATTGGCAGTAGTATGTTAAATACAGTAAGATGCAAACATTAGATGGAAACTTAAAAGAACTAAAGATCCTGCTCTGGACTGAGTGTAACACAAGACCTACTATTATGTTAGCAGGGAAGTGTCTGGCTTTTATTTTTCAGTGCTCCTGTTGGCTTACATGAAGGGAAATGCTAACTTGTGTCGTGCAATAGTGAGAGCTGGGGCTCGTCTTGGAGTTAACAATAATCAAGGAGTCAATATCTTCAACTACCAAGTTGCTACAAAACAGCTTCTCTTTAGACTGCTAGGTAAGTACTACTTGCTACAGGTGGAAAGTGTTTTTACCTTGTGCTTATGAGATATTTCCGTGGAGGAAACAACTCTGGACATCTAACTTAGATGACAATAATTCCAGAGGGGCTGAACTTCTGAATATTCTACTACTTTAAATGGGGGGTAAAAATACTAATTTTTCTCATGGTTAACTGAAAAGTTGCACAATGCACACCTGTCAAACTTAAAATATTACTTTTTCTGGAAGGATAGACATGGAGACTCCTGGCTGGTGTCGTAGTCTAATGTAGCTTAAAACCTAGATACTGCTCTTTAATGTGTGCTGTATAGTCACTGTGGATAATGTGATGTTGATGAAAGCAAGTATACATTGTTTACAAACAAGTCTGCAGCTACTGCAAGAGTAGTTAAATCAATTATACCGGGTGCAACCTAAAACTGGAAGAAGCCTCCTTGATGTTACAGCATACTCAAGAGGTGTCTGAGCCCATTTTGCCTTTACATTTTTGCCTCTTAACAGATATGCTGACAAAAGAACCTCCCTGGTGTGATGGCTCCAACTGCTATGAATGCACTGCCAAATTTGGAGTCACGACAAGGAAGCATCACTGGTAATATGACACATCTTGCTGTGCTTACAGGGAAACTGATTTCTCTTCCAAATGTAGCTAGGCTTGTTCCTTCTGGTGGTTTAGGAAACCTCCATGTTAATGTAGGTGTATAACCAGTAATCCAGCTGAAATGTTCCTCCCTGTCCTAGACCAGTAACTTGTGGCCTGACTAAAATCATATCTTAAGCAGTTTGTGCACTTCATATTCTGTTTTGTTGGAAATGAGAAATCACGTCAAAGGTCCAGTAGTGAAACAGAGGATTTAGATGCCTGCTTTCAGTAATGGGGCTGACTGGCTCTGAAACGGGTGACAGATTTGGGCAGCCACTGGCAGCTTAGGTTAGGGGTGCTGTTTGTAATATGGAAATAACTGATGATGCTGACATGAGCTGCTCTTGTGTAGCTAGGAGTTGCCTTTCACTAGTCTGAACTTTTATGAAATATGCTGGGTTAGATGGATGTTAAGCTAGACTTTTCTCTTGGCCCACTGTTCCAGAGAAACTATACATGTATCAGTTGAAGTAGTACTAGGTGATTGACTAGTATAGAAGCAGCATGTGGTTTTTGGTATTAGTATTCAATTATTTATTCAATTATTAGATGAGAGATATCAGAAGATACAAGAATACAAGATAAAAGAAAAATGTAGCATTTCAATTGCTACTGTACCTTTTTAGTGATACTGTCATTGATAAAGACTATCAGACAGTAAAACCCTGGTGTTCAGTATGAGTGAATTCACTTTTCTCCCACCCCTCTTCTATTAACAGCCGACACTGTGGACGCCTGCTTTGCCATAAGTGCTCAACAAAGGAGATTCCTATCATAAAATTTGATTTGAACAAGCCAGTTCGAGTTTGCAACATCTGCTTTGATGTCCTGACTCTGGGAGGAGTCTCCTAGTATGCTGTGGAAGTAAAGGGATTTCCCAGTCAGCGCTCCTGACAGCAGCTTACAAGCCCTCTGGATAGGGAAGAGGAGGCCTATACATGTCTTCTGCAATAGACTGAACTAAGGACCCTGTTATGATATATACTGGTATAAATGACTTTGTATGACTGTAAATGTATTGGGCTGTGATAGACTTCACTAGGAATTCGAGTGGATCATTGAAACCAAGTGACAAAAGAATTTAGACCCTCTTCTAGTTGCAGTGGGGTATGGAAGCTAAAATTGTTAGGCTGATGTTTGAATCGACATAAAACAGGTCTGTCCTTGACATGGTGCTTTGCACTGAGCAACTCCATTAAGTCCTGTGGCTTTCAGGCTGCTTGGTAGAGATGGCATTAAGTTTCAGGGTAACCAGGTATCTTTCTTTGCTTTGTCTTAAAAGATAAATGTTCCCTTTCTTTAGAGAAGACTTCATGTGAAGCTAGACTGAGCTGTTGCAACCACGGTTCATTTAAAGAAACTGTTCAAAAAATGGGGGTAGTTCCAAGCATAGCTCAAGAATTGTGGCCTTATAACAGAAAGCTTTACAACATCTGATGCAAAGCAGTCAGAATTGCAGATCCACATCTTGATACCTCCTCAGTAAATGTCTCATTAGCTTTAGCATGTTCAAGAGAAGTGCAAGATTGTTTTAGCCCCTAAATACTCTTGCTCATACCTGCTAGAGCTGTCAAAGTCTACTTTGTTGCACTTTCACATTTACCTTGCTAGTCCTTCCAATTCATGAAACTTGTATAAATGAACATAAGTGCGCTGAAAGGCCTAAGCATATGCTAGATGGAGAAACACTAAAACTGGCTAAGGAGTCTAACTTGCAATACAGCAATAAATGCTGAAGTGCATTATGAATCCCATGAGGGAGAGTAGCACTTTCCTTTGGTTTAAAGACCCTGGTGAACTGCTGCAGGAGAGTCAGTAACCCTCCCAGTGTAGAATGTGCTGCACCTCTAGACATTAAATTTGGGTCCATTTTCAGCAGGATTGCTGGTGAGTGGGAGTATATTTGGAGGCTTCCTATTAACATTAAGACTCTGGCCTTGAAGGAAGGATTCTGTACTGGCAGTGTGGTGCCAGGCATTTGGATTAAGCTGCAGTATTTTAATCTAGGCTGGTTGTGCTCTCTTAAACATGCTGAATCTGTAAAAATCCAATACCACGTTGTCTAGGTAAACAGGAAAGTACTTTGCTGATAGACAAGGTTATGATTTTGTGGGCAAAGGCTTCAGTCAGAAAAAATGTGTACTTAAGCAAAACTACATGCCATGTTAAGGCTGTTTTCATCCCAAGAGATGAGCCTAGTTTAGAGTCAACTCAGCATTCCTCATCTCTATTCCATAAGCATTTATTTAATGACTGTTATCTCCAATGTACAATATGGACAAGTTGGTGACACATTGCCCTGTTTGGAATAGTGACTTGTCAGTCTTGGGGTAAGATGAGATGATAAACCAGACTGCTGCTTTTATGGGAGACTTGCTTGAGGGTTTTCTCAAACTTGTACAGGAAGAGGATGGGAGAGGGTGTAATTGCTGACATTTGCACGATGAATTTCACATCAAGTCTCACTTGATCTGCACTTTGATCTTCCAATATGCATGTATTATAACTGGAATCTCCCCTCTTAACACTAGAGAAGAATAATGGATGATAAATTTGCCTCACTGTTTAATGTCTGCTGCTGTCATGTTCCAACAGAATGCCCTGGGTAACACAACTGGTCTCTGTAAAACAGTTACTAATACAAATGGTGCATCTCTAGCATAATACTCTAGGTGAATGAGGTGGAAAATAATGGTGTCTGAAGCATTTAACTGCAAGCTACAGTTTGGGTTTTTTGAGTGAAATAGATGATGGAAAACACTGTACTTCTAGTCCATTGCTTTCTGATATTTCAGAGTATCACTGGTTGCAAGTCTCTAGCAGTGAAAGATAATGATGGAGAGAAAGTGCATTTGGTGAAAGAAGTCTTGTCTATAGTGTATCCCATGATAACATGTTGAATTCCTTCTTGGTTTAGAGCTGCAGTGCTGTGGAGTGGTAAGTGTGTGCTCAAAATACTGAGAGAGAGTGGTAGAAGAGTGTTTTTCCAAGATCACAGCCTACAGACTTCAACTTAATTGGAAAAGGGCACAATTTGTAATTGCTGAAGTATTTAAACATCACTTTTTCAGTGACTTCTCTGATGGAAGGGGCAAAGGAACAGGGAGCTCAGTTCTAATAGAATGAGCAACCTTTTAAATAATGAAAAATGTAGATCTTGTGAAAGTTCAGCTTAACTGAATGGCAAATTTAAGGCTGGCTAGTTGCTCTTTTTAAAAGTAGAATATTAATTAAAACCGCCTGAAACTCGGAAAGATGTGGGAAACCATATGTTATGTTCCTAGTTGGCTTTTTACAGCCAATACTGTACCAGCTTTCTCACTGAAGTCTGAAAGGAAAGTTAAGGTTATTGATAAACTAATGTACAGCCTGAAGTGTTCATTAAATTTAAAGCAACTAAATTCAGCGAATTTGATCATTTTAAAGTGCCTTTGAGATAGTTTCCTTCCAGCCAATTCTAAATAGCTTTCTGCCAGAGTTAAAGGGGAAAAGCTCACAACTTGAACCAAAACCCAAGTTAGTTCTCTTCTAGTTCAACTAAAGAGGCTGACTCCACCAAACTGGTGGAGCTCAATCCTTCATGCAGTCTGCCTAGTATTGGTCTGAACTCTCAGACCTCTGGGATTTTGGGGGAGTTTTGCTGGCAGTGCTCCACAGCAGGGTACAAATGTGAGTGGAGGCACTTGGTAATGTAGTAGTGGTCAACGCATTTCTAACTCCATAAACAACTGCTCTTCCTTTTTGTAGCACACTACAGTTGTGACCAAAAATCCCACCCCTCTTACCCCTGCTGTCTTTAAGTGGTATCTATGAACTTGAGACTCAAGTCTGCCAAGCATTGAACAAAAGGGTAAATGGAAAACAAACTTTGGCCCCTGGGAAGTGATGCTGGCAAACCAGGCTTCAGGCACTTCAAGGGGGCTGCATGGGAAGTCTGTGGTGGTTCATACTGTAGCTTTTTGTTCCAAGACTGGATTCTTTTGGATAGCAGTCATCTAGCACTCTTATACAAGCACAAAATGTGGTCTGGCTTAAGTTTTAATTTGTGTGTCTGAAAAAGGTGTAGTCACTGTTTCACACCACTAAGTGGAGTGAGAATGTTAGTGTTGAAGATGCTAACAGAGCATAGCAAGTTGCTGGCTGAAAGCTGACAGATGCCTTAATGACTTCCTGTGCTGGAGACCAATGGCTTGTACAACTTCTCACGTAGTGCTTATAAATTAACATATACAATATGGGAGGCCAAGGCTTGTTTTTTTGGGTTTTTTTTTTGTGTGTAGATCAAATGTTAATAGGCAAGTCCTCTTTTTCCTGTAACCAGCAGAGTTGGGTACTGCAGCAAACTCATCTCTAGAAAAATGTATGAGTGACAAAAATAACTCTGAACCTTCTAATACCCTCTGTGAAATAGAAAAGGAAGTCTTCGAACAATGGCATTTTATCTGCAATGTTTGTCTGGAGTCATTGTAAAAATGTATTTTTCCAATATGCATTACTTTGTTGTGTAATGATTCTACTTGTAATAAAATGCATAACTAGATAATGCATCATGAGGTGGAAACCTTGTTAAGAAAGTATCTTCTCCTGTATACACAGCTGCCTCTCTGCAAGCTATCCTTTACAAGCCACAAGGAAAACTAGGGCTATAACATTTAACTGGGCATGATAACTTTATTCTTTGTTCTGAAATTATTCCAGGTATTCATTTTAATGTTGTGGAACTGCTACAACTGTTCTTTTGGCTGTTAAGGTCTGGTGTTCTAGCTTATACCATATAGTCATCTTGAATACCTTGTACTAGACTTATCTATAATCAGTCTTACGAAACAATCTGAACTTCCTACAGGCCAGAGCTGGTTCAGAGAGTATGTCAGTTCTTGGCTCAGATCCATTTAAATGGATGAGCTGAGCTGAGTTGACACACAGTAACAAACTATTAGTGCATTCAGTTGTATGCTGGTGGGCAGCTTAGCCTCCTGGAAGAGCATAGAACTGCTGCAGTTTTACTTCAGGAAAACGAAAGCTTCAGTGCAATAGTATACCCAACCAAAACATCTTGGTGAGATTGTGATGCATTAGTCTTTTATTAATAAAACTTACTGAAGTACAGATGCATGGTGAGCTTTATTAGAGCACTGCCTGGTATTGACTTGACCCCTGTATAACTATCACAGTTTTCTTCCCACCCTTTTCTACTATGGGAGAATCTTACCTTGTTTCTACTCTAATTTAAAACCTCAGCTAGTCTTGCAGCAGTTCAGGTCAGAGAGGGAGTCTCCTTGTTTGCTTTAATAGATGACTTATTCTTAGTGCAAGATAAACTTTTTCCCCTCCCAGTGTTTCTAAACACTAAACTGAGGAATAAGCTGTGAATTGGTTTTCAACCAATTTTAACTTAAAGCAACACCACCCCATCTTGCCTTCCTGCAGCAGCTTACTTGATTTTTGTGTAGCTTTGAAGCTCAAAACCATCTTCTCAGCTTTTCAGCACTATTTGCTTAGTGCTGAAGCATTACAGCAAGATGAAACTTGCTTAGAAGTTACATAGCTGATATACTTCCAGTAGGCCTCTAACTTGTGATATTGACTTGCCCTTACAAACTACTTTTTACAGTATTTAATAATCTAGAATTTGCTGCAACTTTTAAATATCTTGAAAATAGCTGTTTAAAGCTACTTGACAATAATTTTTTTTAATGTGAGCTCTTGTTAAAGAAGATGTGTCCAAAAGCAAATGACATGCTGATACTTAAAATGTCCACCAAATTATGGAGATAATGAAGCACTGCTTTGCAGCTCTTTCCTGCAGATTTTACACAGCTTTTATCTTTAGGATTGTTATGTGAAATGAACAGCCTGCTCCAAGGCCAAAGATGGCACAAGCCCAAGGCTGAGTTTCCATTCTAAGAGTGTGACTGGGGACTTGAAGACTGTCTGAGGGCTCTGCTGCTGCTCAGTTACACAGACAACTTCCACTGCTGACCAGTAAAAGCTGGCACATCTGCCTAGAAGTGCCCTGGAGGACTTCTCTTCAAGATTACAGTGGAAAAGAAACACAGCGGAACCAGGTTAAAAACCAAACCGAACACAAAACCCCAAACGTTTATTACAACAACCATGTACACATTTAAGTTGCTGTATGGCTCCCATCCATGGCAGCTGTAGCCTCATCTAAACAACATAGGTAAGAAGTGCTGTAATATGTCCTACTGGCACTGTAATGAAGTAATAACTTCTTTTGAAGCAATGCTGCCAGGCCTCCTGTAATCTGACTAGTTATTAACTACTTAGATTTGTGGGACTTTCTTGAGAGGTGGTAGTAGCTCAAAACTAATGACTCCCAGCTGTTTATAAATAGGTGGCAGCTGCCTTAAGGAAAAGAACTGAACACAGCTCAGCACAGATCTGTGCTACTGCTGGACTCTGTGTAATGTGGGTGTCTCTCTCAGGGCTGCAGCTACACCAGAAACCGATTCTAGCAGTAGATTGTCTGAAAAACACCAACAGCTTCCCTGCAGCCTGGGGTTTGTAGCACTAGGCCCTATGCAGGTATTCCCTTGTCCTTTTCAGCCCCACACAGAAATGGTAAAAACCCACCCTGTGCTTCTGGGAGTCACTCCTATTACTGATTTTTGCCAGCTGTGATAAAATATGTATGGACTTTAAGGGAGCTGGGCCTTGTGAGGATACGTCTAGCCTCAGGTTATAGTCTGATGGACATATACTACATGGGAGGAGGTCACATACCAGAATGGGAATAGGAGGCAGATTACAGCAGGATGGTCATGTTGCCACATAGCTTTTGTTATTGCTTATTTAAAAATACAACTTCCTGATCCGAGTAGTTTGAGAGTACTGAATCACAGGACCAGGATGGTGAGGTTAATATAAAACAACAATCCTCATAGGTGGCTTCCAATTATCTTCTTTGCACAGTATCTAATTACAAACACTAGAAGAGGAAATACAGCTATCACCTTTGCCTTCTGTACTCCAAGAATTTCATAAAGCTTGTATGTAACTAAACCGCACAGGTTCCTAGATACCATGTACCTTAATTGTAGGAGAAATTCAGGCTCTCCCTGCTACCTTTAAACTGTCCAGAGTAAATCAGGTGACCGGGAAGGAGCATTAGTACTACAATGCAGTAGGCAAAGTTCTAGTGACTGGAGGACTGTGCGTAAACTGAGGTCAGTGATGCTGCAGCAGTTCTTGTGGTCACTACCTTGCTGCCTTAAAACACACCACATTGCACCCACCACTGTGCACACAACCATCTATTTCCTGACTGCGCAAGAAATCGGTTTTTAAATATAATTCAGGCTGTGCATCTTAAAGTTTTTGCCAGATGTAAAAATATCACAGAAATATAACACTAAGAAAGAAAGCATCCCGCTGCTGATTTTTTAGCCACTAACTTGGCTAAAGTGTTTCCTCCTTCTCTCATCTCCATCTCCGCACATTAAAAAAAGAGTCACAAATAACATGAAATTATTATTACTTCATTTGTACAGACGGAAGGGAATGAAGCTGGAGCTGCCCATCCAAAGTGCAACGTTTCACTGTAGGACTCTACACCCGCCTCAGATCCGGCACTTGGAGTCACACCTTTAGGACACACTGCTCTGCCAGCGGATGGCAGCCATCGTATTCCTCCAGCTGAGGATTATCCAGATCACCTCTGCCGCTGTGCTCGGTGGAGTCCGGCTCACCCCATGGGGGACCAGTAGTCCTCACGCACACACAGTGGCTGCCCCTGGAACCAGGTCGGTATAGCTTCCGGGGGACTCCAGCCCAGTCTCTGTTCACTCCCCCGCTAAGAATGGAAAATTAAAATAAATTACAATTCAAACCTGTGAAAATATTTCCAGTGAATTGAGAATCATTAGATAAAAACCAAGACAATCTGGGGGAGTTAAAACTAACAATACACTCACTGGGGCAGACTTTGCTCCCAAGAGCCAACATCCCACAACTTTCTGATACCTTTTTACTGGCTGTGCTTCAGAAACCTGTGGCCTGAACCTGGTTTCATCAGTGCTGCTACATGCTCTCGCCCTTCTGGGAGCAACCAACTTCTGCTTCCTGTATTTCTATTGCTGGAAACAGAATCATAGCCTTATGTAGCACAGCGTGTCTAATGGCAAAATGCCTTTTTTGGGGGTAGCTAATTGCTCACAGATAACCACATGCTGCCTTCTGTGCAGTGACTGAACACAGTGATTTTGAGAACTAGGGCAGAAGAAAAAAAAAAGTCTCAGTCACTTCCGCAACTACTTCATAGGGTCTCTGTGGGCCAAATCCTGCCTGTTCCCCTAACTACTGCATCTTTTAAGCCTGTAAACTCTTACACAAGCGACTGCCACACAACACCCAGTCCCAAGGCTGTACCCAAGCTCGTTCACACATATAAGCAGATTCCCAAGGTATTAAGTGCTACTGGTAAACCGAAATGAAGACTAAGCATCTTCAATGTGGTCTGTGAAATTATTTCATCTTAAAACAAAATAGTCCCTAAACTGAGAGAGCAATACAACTAAATAGGCCAAGTAGGAAATGACTGTTCAAAGCTCAACCTCATTTTTATGTGGTTTTAAGTAAAAACTGTTGCAGCAGTAGCCCATGAGACAGGCCATGAAACTGTCTGAAAAACACTAGCTAATCTTTGCATTCCTGCTAGGTGAGAAAACCTGCTCAAATGCGCAGATGACAGTCCTTATGGGATTTCCGTCCTGTTTTTCAAAGAACAGGAGGATCACCTGCACTTGTGGCAAATTCTGAAACCTGATTTTGATTCCAGTGTGATAGAGGAGTTTTTGCCTCAGAAATAAAATTCCTAAAAGTATCAGTGATCGCTTTATTTTCCTTTTACCCACTCACCAGGTCAGTGAGCAGAGCTCTGCTCTGCCACCTCACACTGGAGAACATTTTCGCTAGCCCAACCTACACCTCTGTGCAACTCCAGACTAGGTGGAGGCCATCAGCGGTTGCTGGACTGGCAGAAAAAAAATCTAGTGACTCCGAGTCAGTCACACAGCAGCAGCAGCTCAACCTGGCACAGGGAGAACAGCACCGCTGCTCCTTGCAGGTTGGCTCTGCCTCTGTCAGAAAGCACAGCCTGAGGAATGCAGACCGGGTAAGGGACCATGCCTGGCATATTCCAGCCATGCCAGCACCCAGCACATTAAGACCAACCTATGCCCTCCTGCGGAGAAGTCAGCAGACCTCACCTACAGACTACGTAGTGTGGTGGCTGCAGGAGCCGGGACATCTTCCTCCGCCACTCCTGCTAGGAGAGGTAATGACAAAGCTCAGGGCATCCAAAAAAAGGGCAGAAATGTTCTGCTCCAAAGGGTTCAAGCATGATGGCAAGAAGGCGGAGGTTTACCTCTGTCTGGAGCACCAGAATCGGCTGCCCTTAGCAGAGCTCCATTCAGAGTTGCAGGGTGGAAACTGCTGCTTCCTCTGCTCACTTTCTGCTTGGAACTTCACAGCTTCCTCAATCGCAGCCTCAGCCTGCCTTAAGGCTTCTGTCGGTGCCCCATTTTCATCATAGAATCTGCCCACCAGCTTCCCTGGGAGAGAAGATCAATTAAGACCACAGCGTTTCCAGGCAACGAAAATGAATAGTTCTGGGTTTTGTTTTTTTTTTTTACATTTGTTATTTAAAGACAAAAAAAGGTGGATCTCGCCACGGCCCACTTTTAAAACCGTACTGAGCTTACATCCTTTCCATTCTTGGATCACACAGCACTTTACCCGCATTAATAAAACCATGCAGGACAAGCTTGGGCACAGACTCATTAAAGAGGAGAAAGTCAACGCCACTTTCAGCTGCAGACCCCAGAAGTCCTTCCCACCCACGCACCTCATTCCCCAAAATAGTTTCCCTGCACTGCTGCTCCTACAGTCTCCCGAGTCCTGCTAATTTCAGTACTCGCAGCGTTGGCTCTGCGCCTCGTGCTCAGCAGAGATGAATAAAAGCAGGGCAGAGAGCTGCAGCCGGCAGCCCAGGGCAGGAAAACTGTTAAGCTTCGTCTCAGAGGAAAGCGGACCTCAAACGAGGTCTGATTTAGCAGCAGCTCCAGCTGGTGGCTCACAGGTTTCAGTACGCTGGTCTCCAGCAGCCGCCCGCAGCACGGCTGGAAGACCCTCACCAAGGTGGACGTGGCGTAGGCGAAACCCGGCGCCACGCAGCGCCGCGTGCCCCGACCTTCCGTCGCCGCGCTGCAGGCCTACCCTCGCCCGCCCGCTCTCCTCCGTGCCCCTTTCTGCCTTACGTGCGGTCACCCCGGCCAGAAGCACCTACCCACGGGATCGTAGTTGTCGCCGTAGAAGGAGAGCCAGCTCCGGATGGCCAGCATCTCGCCCGGCGACAGCGCCGACACGTCGTCCACCAGCCCCGCCGGGGTGAAGTCGCCGGTGGCAAACGCTCTGGTGGCATCTCTGCCTGTGGGGCAGGCAGGCGGTGAGCCCCGGCCAGGC